GGCTCTGAGGTGCAGGCAGAGGGCAGGGCAGCCCTGTGTGGGAAGAAAGGGGGAGTGGAGCAGAGCGCAATGAGTCTTGATTTTTTTAAGTACGATTTGTGTGTCCGCGTCTAATCTTGCCACTTTCTAAAATATATTTAGTGCCGTGTCTTTTTCATTCTGTAACTCTATCAAATAATAAAATACAGTAACATTGGGATGAAGGGTTTTTTTTGGGATAGTGGAGGGCATGCGTTGTGTGTCCCATTGGTGTGGTGATGGCTGCATCCATCCTTCTTCTGACAGGAAATGCTACGCAGGGAGTGAGGACAAAAGATGGGGTGGAGGGTTGAGGAGGGTCAGTTGGCTGGAAGTGATAAATGTCCCTATTTTCATCTGAGGAATGTTGGAGGGGGGTATGAGGAGGGTATAGTATACCAACCCAAGTTGATAAAAGGCAATCTTCACTACAGAGCCTCGTGATAGAGATGGAGCCAGGAGCACCCCTAAATTATGTACCTGTTCCTTCAGAGGAAGTACAACTGTGCCCATAACTGGTCTCCAACTCTGAGACCTTCTCTCTTTTAATATCATTATACAGTGGTACCTCGGGTTACAACACTTCAGATTACAGACGCTTCAGGTTACAGACTCCGCTAACCCAGAAATAGTACCTCAGGTTAAGAACTTTGCTTCAGGATGAGAACAGAAATCGTGCAGCAGCAGCGGGAGGCCCCATTAGCTAAAGTGGTACCTCAGGTTAACAGCAGTTTCAGGTTAAGAACGGACCTCCAGAACAAATTAAGTTCTTAACCTGAGGTACCACTGTAATTGTTCTGAAAATACACAGGAAATGTTCCCTTCCTGGGGGAGAAAGAATCTTCCAGGCTTTCTTTCGACAGCTTTACTTCTCAGGATGGAGGGTGGAAAGGAATCAGGATTTTATCCGCAAGCATTCGGGACTCCTAATGAAACTGGCCCTGTTATTAGAGCAGGATTAATGTGAATTAATGTGTGGATTAATGTGTGGGCTTTTTCCTTCCCCTGCTGCTGCATTATTCCTATTAGACACAGATAATGAGGATCCTGTTGCTTACAACCATTATGCTGTCATTACAATCATCATCATTTAAGTACTCCATAAAGGGCAACGGCTGAGACTAGGAAATGGCAATTGGAATAGCTTGTTTAGGACATCCCTATTTTCATCGGGAAAATGTTGCCACAAGAAATATTATGGGGCAGGCAAAGCTGAAGCAGAAGGAAATACAGTAGCCGCCTCAGAATGTTTCATTGTAAGCTGCCTTGACACCCAAAGCCACAAGTTCAGTAACAATACGGCTTGACAACCCCAGGCATGGCTTGAGGGCCAAGGGGAGTGTAGTGACCGTGATCTGGAACAATTCAATTTCCTTGGTCAGGCCTCCTGTTTAGTAGTTGACTAGTTTTCTGCAGCTCATACCCTCCAATATTTCTCCAATGAAAAAAGGGACATCCTGTTCCACACCCCCCAACATTTCTCCGATGAAAATAAAGAGACATCCCCTCAAACATTTCTCCGATGAAAATGGGGGCATCCTATGTGATGAAAATGATGTACAGATGTTATATTACACCTGTCAAGTTAGCTAAAATGCATAAAGTTAGCAATAAATGTTGGAAATGTAAAGAAAAAGAAGGAACATTTTATCACATGTGGTGGGAATGTAAAAAGGTGAAAAGCTTCTGGGAGATGATATATAATGAGATGGAAAAAATGTTGAAACGTACATTTATAAAGAAACCAGAAGCATTTTTACTGGGCATTGTAGGAAGTGATATCAATAGAAAGAAATGTAAGTTGTTTTTATATGCAACAACCGCAGCAAGAATGTTATTGGCCCAAAAATGGAAGAACTATTGACGAAAGAAGAATGGAGGATGAAACTAATGGACTATGCAGAATTGGATAAACTAACAGGAAGGATTTGAAACCAGCGGGACTAGAAATTCACAGAAGACTGGAGTAAATTTACAGACTATTTGAAAAGTATTTGTGATGATCAGACTACATTTGTAGGTTTGCAAGAAGTTTTGTGAGGAGTATTATTGCAAAAATGGATAAGGGGGAGGATGGTTAGTTAAAATAATTAAAGGCAATATGAATTTAAGAAATGCATAAGAAATAGTCAAAACGGTGGATCATCAGAGGTGTTGATGGAAGTCCAAAAAAAATAATAATTATAGAAATGATGAAGTTTTGTGGTATGTATTATAATTTATATGTTAAAATTAATAAGAATTATTATTAAAAAAAGAAAAAGAAAATGGGGGCATCCTACCTGATTTGTTAGGAACTCAAGACAGAATTGGGATTGTTAGGAATGCATTGCTCACTTCCACTGCCGCGTACAGCTCCTTGGAGACTCCTCAGCTGTCAAAATGTCTTGGGCCAACCCTGGATGGAAATAGCCTAAGGACTTCACCTAACAGATCCCACATTGTATCTGTCACAACACACACTTTAAATTGAGTCTTCTGCAGTGACATGGTTGGGTGAACCAGTGACGTTTCTGTAGTCATGAACAGATTTTTACCTGATGCAGTTTGAATTTATGGTCACCTGTAACCCCTTCAGACACCATCAGACCTCCATTCAGTTAGGTAACAATGAAAATGCACAACTCTACACTGCACTGATTCCTGACTGTATGCCAGGTCAAATGTGTTGTTTTAAATTCTTTCCATGCAAGCCTGAGCAACCATAGTATCATGATCCTTGAGAGTGATCATGGTAATCTATAACAAGCTTGGCCTCTCAGGGTGTGACACATTTAATATCTCTTTAGCTGGAAGCGGCTTGCATGAACAAAGTGTTGCAAATGATGCGCCCGGGCCCATTTCTAAGCCTGGTTATAAATGGATAGTAAAAGGGCTTTTTTTTTTCCAGGCTGATGAGGCAGACATCTTATTTGACATGGAATTTGCAACATAGAGCTTAAAATAACAAGACTGTAGTTTTCATAGGAACTAAGTGAAATAATCAATTATTAAATCATATGAGAAGTTTGTGACAGGCTTTCTGCATCCTATAGCATACATCGGATTATAGAACACCAGAGAAAAGATTTCAGCTGACACATTAGAAAATTGCCTTTTTGTTTCTGATGGAAACACAAATGAGAAAGTGGAGTACTTAAAATTACATGACATGTAATCTGAGGGAAGCCCCTTTGGGAACCTTCTGGAGAATAATCAAGAAAGACAAGATGCTTTGCTGAGGTATTTTATATCTGGTGAAGACATATATGGCTTAGTAGGGCATGTTGAATTTTCAACTTTCTTAATTCCAAAAAGTAGGGCTGCTAAAAAGTTGGTACGTAACACGAGGTTCCACTGCAATGTGATTTAGAAATTCAAAAGATATTTTGGTTAAACTAATAGTTTTGCTTGGTAAGTAAAATGTGTGTAAAAATGATTGCCAAGTACTTGTAGTTATGATTGTACTTATAGTTATGTTATATAATTATATTGTATTATATTACATTATTTTATTATTTAGCATTACCTGACATTTTCAGAAGGTGAAATTAAATCTCATTGGTCTTCCGAAAGCTCAAGAAACAAAAGTTCTGTTCAATGCTCAGTAATCTCTGCAACCCCACTTTCTTTTAACATTTTTTTCTCACTGATAGGCTTATTCTAAAAAGTTGTGAACCTCTTGAAGATTTTAGAAACTTTTACTAGTTCTACCTAAACTGCTCTCTTATTTTTGCAGGATCAATATTTGCAGTATGAGTTTCCAAGATGAGCATTTAGCTATTTTGAGCAAACTGATTAGTCATATCCAGTATGAGAATATTTTAAGGATCTTTAATATATTTAAAAAATGGAAGATTTTGTATTACATAGGATTATATACCATTAATGCAATGTATATATACTTTCCCAGAAAAAACTTTTCATGCTTAAAAAATGCACCTTAATTTAATACTTGTCTGTATAACATATATAGTAGTAAATAAAGTAGTAAACAGGTTATGTGTCAAATAAGAGAGCTACACATTACAAGGCAATTACAATTTTGACAAAAAAGTAAAACATGTTTTCCAGTATCTGAAGGCAATTCACAATCATTTCCAAGGTATTTGTGAGATTTAAGGCCATTTGTTCTAATTAAAGGTTTTGACATAAATACTCACAAAAATGTGTTATTTTGCGTGTAAAAACTGTACATGCAAAAACATTTGATAATTAGGATAAGAACAGGCATATATAATAAAATACTTGAGTAGTTCTATATACAAAGTTGTGCACAAAGCAACATAGCTGTGCAATTTTAACACATTTAATTCATTACCACTTGTGTGCCCTATATGGCGGTGTGACTGTGGCAACAGATAACTCAAAATGTGCCAGCATCCCTTTGAATGGACCATCTAGACAAACCTCACAGCAACTGGCAATTTGCATAAGAGCATCAAGTCATTCATAATAAAATAACCTGCAGAAAGCAATTAGGTTGTCAAAGCTCTACAGCTGTTATGCAAGAGACTCTACAGATTACATTGCATGAGTCAAATTTCAGGACTCAAAAGTTGATGCTGCCATTTCCTAGAATAACACTGTGTTGTTGTTCAAATTTATTATGCCAGCATAATCATTCTTTAAAAAATGTAAACACAAGTTATTTCAGAAACTGGAATACCTTGCAAAAAAAATAAAATCTTACAGTATTCACATCTTGGAAGCTTATTCCCAAATCCGTCTGATGATTCATTACCAAGCACCTGAGTGAGGTGTTTCCATTATTGAGACCTACGAATATGTTTGGCCTCCCAATTTCTACTCACAGTTTTGCATTCGTTTTTGTCTGGACAATCATTCAAAGAGATATTGCTTCTCTTGTGGATTTTACTATTGCAAGATAGAAGACAATTCAATATCCCAAATTCTTAAGGTTAAGAATAATTATAAAAAGTAGTTAAGTTTGAAAAGTAGTAACATGTAAACATTGATACAGAGGAATTTGCATTCACATCTTATGTACATATTAAGTCAGGAAAGACAAGGACTTTTGAGTTGAACCCGTGACTTGTGCTTTCTCCAAAATACACACGACAATAGTAGCTTATTCTGTCAGAAACAAAATGAAACTCAGAAACAGACATCACCATTTTCTTCCTCTTACATAAAAGCTGTTCAGTTGCGCATGCAACCAAGTTGGACATTTTGGTATATGAAGTTAACGTTATTTTGCTCCAAATGCCACCAGAAGCCTTTACTGCATACAAAGAAGAACGCTTCGCTTCAGCTCGCTGGCTCTTTAAAGTGCACCACTGTACTGCACTGAACAGTGCTCTATGGTTGGTGAAAAGCATTCAGCATTCCGAGTGCTCATATCTGAGTCTGCAATACATGAATAGGTGGGGTGTATGGAGGAGGCGCAGGCGATGGCTTGATTCCTCTCACCCTCATATAGGAGAGAAACTGGTCTGGGATCTCAGCCAAGACATCTCTAGCAAGTCTGGCCATACTTAAAATGTGGTTTCCGCTTCTGTCAATGTAATCCCGAAACGGTACAAACTGAAATGAAATGGAGGGGAGGGGGAGAGAATTTGTTTAGCATTGCTGTTGGGGCATCGTAAAGAATGAAAGCCAAAGGTTAAAAATAAGATGTCATTTATTTTGAAACTTAACTTGGTAAGATGATCTGAATATTTCAGATCTTTTGCAGATGCATATTATATTCAGTGCTTTTTTTCTAAAAAAATGTTTAGGGGCACTCTAATTTTCCTACTCATATTGAAATACTGCCCCTCAATGAGGCCAAATTTAGATTTACAAAATGTTAAGGGGTATGCGTACCCCTAGAAAAAAGCACTGGTTATATTACACATTGGTATTTTTAGGCTTTTCTGTTGAAGGCCTTCATACTAACATACAACATAAAATAAAAATATCACAGTATCCAAACATAAATCAATCAATCTACATATGGAAAAACAAGTACAGAGCAGCAAAATATCAAAACAGCAAACTAGGAAAATGTTACTCCATGCTAAAGACTTGATGAAACAAAGCTACTTTCATATAATACTGGAATGCTTATAACTGAATTTCCAGTAGGCAAGTTACAAACCCTAGTTGCTGCTTCTGAAAAGATCCTGTCTGGGGTCACTGCCAAATTGCACCTCTGGTGGTGATGGGACATGGAGCAGGAATGGCAGTGAAGATCACAACAGGTGAGCAGGTTTTAGGCATCAGAAAGTCACCCTTAAATTACCTCAGTTCAAAATTGTATAGCGCTTTAAAAGTGTGACCAGCACTTTGAATTGTCCTTGCTATCTAGAACCTTCCAGCCTGGTTTTCTGAAGAGCAAGCCAACCTGTATACATACATTTTAAAAAGGTAACGGTAAAGGGACCCCTGACTGTTAGGTCCAGTCGTGGACGACTCTGGTGTTGTGGCGCTCATCTCGCTTTATTGGCCGAGGGAGGCAGCATACAGCTTCCGGGTCATGTGGCCAGCATGACTAAGCCACATCTGGCGAAACCAGAGCAGCGCACAGAAATGCCGTTTACCTTGCCGCTGGAGCGGTACCTATTTTATCTACTTGCACTGCATGCTTTCGAACTGCTAGGTTGGCAGGAGATGGGACAGAGCTACGGGAGCTCACCCCGTCGCGGGGATTCGAACCGCCGACCTTCTGATTGGCAAGCCCAAGGCTCAGTGGTTTAGACCACAGCACCAAGTGCGTCCCATACATACATTATGTACTCTAAGTATATAAAAGATCAGCTAGACAGAAGTGCTTTCTCTCACCTGTACAATATCTCTTTCTGCATACATTCCTCTTGAGGAGAGTCTTACTTCATCACCATCCAATTCTTCCATAGCTGAAAAAAGACAGAGTAATGTATTCATATTGTTTGATTTAATCTGTTCAACAAAGCCCATATGAAAAACACATAGTTTTTTGTTTTGTTATTTATTTACATAGCACTTTATGGCCCAGTTGAACTTCTGAACTACAAGCAAGCAATTAGGTTTGGGTGTTTCACCCAAATTAGGCAATCCAACTGTATTGCTAGAAAATGTGATCCTTCCATTATTCACAAACACAAGATCCTGAACATCTACAGCTGTTTTAAAATAGGGATTATATGAGTTCTCAAGGGAACCCCACCCAGTAATATGGCTGCTGTGTTTTGGACCAGTTAACATTTCCATGCCATCTTCCAAAGGCAGCCTCAATCAAATCTGGAAGTTACCAGAGCATGGAGTAATGTATGTTTTATCACATAGGCTGCTTTGAGTTCATTTTGCTAAGAAAAATGGAGTATCAGCTACAAAAGAAAGATAAATTGCCGTTTAAGTGATGATGTGAATTGGACCCTAATTCTGAGGCCTCCTTCCAAGAAAAGCATTCTGAAACTGAGGATGCTCACCGTCAAATTCAGCTGGGCCAACTCCTACTATTATTATTGACATCGGAAGCTTTGAAGCCTTCAAAAGAAAAAGAAAAACATATATGAACACTGTCACATAATTTAAAGATACAGGCAACTCTCAGCATCATGTGTGATGCAGGTATGCACAATTCAATTGTGGTGCACAACACTACCTTCAATCATAGATGAAAAGATCACATTTGAATACATACCTGTGATCCATAAAACATTTTATATACATATGTATGATTCAGCTCCTCTTTCTCAGTTATTTGGGAGGGAGTTTAAAAGCGGTTTGATGGCAAGGGAGCAGCTGAAGTAAAATTATGCTGGAAAAAATAATCTATATATACTCTCTTTCTTGCAATTTTTTCTACCTGTTTGCAGCAACAACCTGGCTATTTTGCTTTTACTGTGTTATTCAAACAAACACTAGGCACCATCCAGCCAAAATTAAGGTTTAAGATCCTGGAAGAGAACTCAGCATATACCCCTGATATCAACTGCACCAGAAGCAGCTGAAGTTTGACTGAATTGTGCTAAACATCTGTACGTCTGTCTCAGATGCAAAAAAAATGGTAATGTGTTTCAATCCAAGGACAGACAGAAAGGGCACTTTCTGTTACTTTTTATTCTAAACCAAGTTTGTGGAAGAAAAAGGAAAAGCATGTGCACCTAAACTCAGAACTACAGGGAAGTTACTGCTTCTTCTCTCACTCAGGCCAGGCTTCCTTTGGGTGCCTGGTAAGGAGAAGATATCATTGGTACTTACCTATGTAAGGTTCATTTACATGCATGTAACATGACGTCAGGTGGGAATGGTGCTCCCCCTAGTGGTTGAAGGTAGAAATCACTACAGGCATACCTCGGGTTACAGACGCTTCAGGTTGCGTTTTTCGGGTTACGGTCCACCGAAACCCGGAAGTACCGGAATGGGTTACTTCTGGGTTTCAGCGGTTGCGGATCTGCGGAAGCGCTAAATCACGCTTTGCGCAGAAGCGCCGGGTCGCAACCAGCGCATGCGCAGACGTGCCGCTGCGGGTTGTGGACGCTGTGGGTTGCAAACGTGCATCTTGCACGGATCACGTTCGCAACCCGAGCGTCCACTGTACTCTAATTGGGAAAAAAACTTAGTGGCGTTACCATGCCAATCCCAGCCAGTTTCTATGATGATAAGCTGGGATAATAGAGGCCAAAGCAGAACAGTGACATGAACAAAGACAAACACAAGACAATCCCTGCCCAAGGAACGTAAGCAAATATTGTATAAAGAATATGAAATAAGCCAATCATGCGGAGTGAGAAAGGCAGTCTGGAAGAAGGGTGAGACCCTGATGCCATATTACATGGATGTAAAAGAACCCTTCAAGGATAAGTAATATTGGTATCTTTTCCAAGCATGTCATGGCATCTGATGGGACATACTCAAACCGAACCATATAGAGTGGGATATCTATGAATGAACTATTGGCTGTGTATGGGTTCAGCAGGACCTCCCAAAGGATGCCTCTGCAAAGGCAGAAACACCCACTTTATACTATTTAATAAAGCTTCCGGGACTAGCCAAGGTGGCTGCCCAACAAATCTCCTGTAGAGAAGCATTCAGAGGAAATGCAGGTAAAGTAGCTGCAGCCCTAGTTGAATAGACCATAATTTTGGCTGGGGGAATAAAAATGCAAACTTTTATAAGCTAAAGCAATGGAGGCCTTTAACCATCTAGCTAAAGTTGCTGAGGAGATTTTCTTGCACCAAGAGGCAGGGTAAAATGACTTTAAAAGGCTTCTTCAGTATCTGATTCCCCATTCAATCCTCCTCCATATCTAAGACAATAAAACCAGTAGTAGAGTCCTCTTGGAAATCTGAAGAATCTCCAATGGGTTGGGCAAACTATTTCTTATTAACCTCCCCCTAGAACGTCTCCAGAACCTGCCGAGCTGGAAACTAGCCCAGCGAAGTAGAGGTGAGTGGAGGAGAGATTGAGAAAATGCACACACAGGGTCCTTTTTATTCTTAATATATTGAACAGGCAAGAAAGGGAGCAGAGAAAGAAAAGGCAGAAGAAGATGAGAAGAGAAAATGGCAGCAAGTGGAGAAGGAAGGAAAAAACCTCAAACCCTGAGTTGGGGGGGGAGGAAGTACAGTCAGACAAAGGGTAGGAGGAAAGAGAGTCACCAACACACATAAATTACCACAAAATAAGATAAGTAACAGGCCTGAGCTGACAACAAGAGCAGGGAGTTGAAGCTGACAATTCAGCTGGTGAAGGGAGAAATTGAAACTAGCTGGGGTTGGCATGGCAATGCCTCAAGTTTTTCTTTTTTTCCATGACAGCAGCAATTTGTGCCTTCAGATGCTGGGGGAAACACTATTTCGACCTGATGGCATGATGTCAACTGTCCCCAAGGACGTGAATGGATACATACCAATTCAGAGAAAAAGTCCCACTGAGTACAACTGGGGACTCAGCTATACAGCTGCAAATAAAACGTTTTAAGTGTGTTTTAAGTGCAATATACAGTGTGACACTAGATGTCAATGATGAGCCTTATGGAAAATCTGGTGTATTTTTTCAAAATGCTTTTTTAAAAAAAAGCATTTTCAGAACTTTTTTTAATATGTGTGTAGATTCCACCTGGGTAAGTATGTACAGGATTGGAGCTTTGTGTTTTAAGGTGCTTTAAGTGATGGAAGACAGGATATGTATCTTCTGTCACCCACCAAATGGCTAAGCAAAAACCAGGACCGTGAAGGCAGCAGGGGAGAAAAAATATTAATTTTGCCAACTCTATTTCTCCCTGTGATCTGAGTCAGATGAGGCCATATGGGATCATCCCTGGATCAATGCCTGAATGCTGTCATGGGCTGGATGAGGGCTGAAGTTGAATCTTGACAAACTGGGGTATCGTGGTCTTGGAATTAGGCAGACAACCTGTTCTTGAAGGGGTTGTTCTAGGAGCTAGTTTACAGCTTGGAGGGGCTCCTAGATCAAGCTTTGTCACTGGGGGCTCAGACGACTGGTGCCAAATCTTTTTATGTTTCAGTGCCAAGTTAAAACATGGTACCTTTTAAAGGCTGTGCACTATTAACTTATTCTATTGTTGCATTTTAGGCTGAATTTTGCTATATCCTGCTCTGAAATAGTTGGCTGAAAATATGGGTTATAAATGATTCATTATTAAATACTTAAGATACTTGTTCTGGTGGCATTCAACTAAGTTTTACTCAGAACAGATCTACTGACATTAGTGAACCTCATTTAGTCATTTCAGTGGGTGTTAAGGGTTAATGCCTGCCCCACCAACCTTGATAAATTATAGATTATATAAATTATAGAAAATATAAAGGAGAAACATAGTATTGGTACATATCGTTGTTGAGCTGTCCTACGTCTGTCATGTTAATAATTAACCCTTTGTTTTATTTATTTTAAATTTGTATTTAGTTTAATAATAAGTTTAATAAAGATAATTTCAAAACAATTCAGTGAATCTACTTAGCTGACTACCACCCTAAACAAATAAACATACCATGGTGCATTTGACAAAAGAACAGGAAGGGTCAGGGTATTCAAATACAAAGGAACGTGAAATCGTTAATGAGACAGAAATACCCAGGGCAATGAGTGGTTGCCCAGTGGGAAATACAGTATGTATTCTACTTTTAAAGTATTTTCAAGATCAAGTTTAAACATAACTTACATTCACAATAGACTCCTTTGTTTGAGCCATGTCAGAAATGACCCCATCTGTAATAATGAGAAGAACAAAATACTGGGAGCCGTCTTTTATTGAGGCAGCATATCTAAAACAAAACACATACAAACACAATTACAGTTTTAATATGAGAATATAAAACTTTCAGATTGCTTTTAAATCTATGTACTACAGATAGAAACTAAAAACTGAAACGAAACATTCAAAATGACAGGTAGTAGCGTGTTTATTAACCAGGACATAATTAGAAACTGGTGTATTTATTTATCAAGTCCACCTATCTATATTTAAGAATGCATGGCATACAATGGTCTGGCTTACATAGTAAGCCAAATTTACCTGGGGCTTGTGAACATGCAGACTCTTAAAGAATTTAAAGCTGCTTTGCTCCTTCCTGATCCTTTTCTTGCTCCCAAACCATGCTGAGCTAAGCCAGGGTTTGGGGCAGTGTTACATGTCTTTCACATAACGTGGGCTTTTGGTGGGAGGGCCAATATAATAGTGGCCTCATGGTTTTCCTTAAGAAAAATAAATAAGTCTTCCACTCCTAAATTGCTTATGATTACCATAAGCAATAATCACCAAGCTGGAAGTCTGGTATTTGGGGGGGCAGCAGCAGACCATCATTGCAGAAGGTAAGCTTTCCTAGTACTGTTCCACAACTGTCTGCACTCTCTGCTCCCAAGAAAGCTGGCCTTTCCGACCACTGGCCAGCAGAGAGACTTTCCTGCCCCTTCTTGGCTAAGAGCCCTGGGTCTGGGCTTGACTTCTGAGGGAGTGGCTGTATCTTTTCCTGAGCTGAAATGGGCAGCACCATCCCAGGGGAGTGGGGCGGGGGGGGGGGGAGAGACACCAAAGGAGAGCTGGCCCTTTCTTTGGAGGGGGCAGAAGTGCAACAGCCACCTCCCTAACATCTAATGACTAGGGTAGATTCAGTGATGTAGACTATCTTGCTAAGTTGTATCTAGTTTAATCAACCTAAGATTTGTTTTGTTGCTTCTCTGCTTCTGTTTCGTCTTTTATCATGTGTCTAGGACAATATCGGGACACGGGTGGCGCTGTGGGTTAAACCATAGAGCCTAGGACTTGCCAATCAGAAGGTCGGGGGTTCAAATCCCCATGGCGGGGTGAGCTCCCGTTGTTCGGTCCCTGCTCCTGCCAACCTAGCAGTTCGAAAGCACGTCAAAGTGCAAGTAGATAAATAGGAACCGCTCCGGCAGGAAGGTAAACGGCGTTTCCATGCGCTGCTCTGGTTCGCCAGAAGTGGTTTAGTCATGCTGGCCACAGGACCCGGAAGCTGTACGCCGGCTCCCTTGGTCAATAAAGCGAGATGAGCGCCGCAACCCCAGAGTCGGCCACGACTGGACCTAATGGTCAGGGGTCCCTTTACCTTTTAGGACAATGTCAGCTGGGAAGAGTTGGCAGTCCCACAACTGCAGAGGTCTGGGGGAAGGGGAAGGTATACTGAGAGGATGGGCAAGCCAGGTGAGGGGCGAATGGAACACAGACAACTGGTGGTTATGCTGCGTGCGAGCCCTTTCTTTACTCAGAGGAACTTACTTAATGCCAGGTCTACTTTAAGAGAGTTTCCCCTTAACCATGATTTGATTGTCGATGGGGATGTGGAACCTGATCTGGTTTGTATTACTGAGACTTGTGTGGGTGAGCAGGTCTTGAGGGTCAGGGAAGGGGTGTTACTTTAGTCTATAGGAACTTGATCTCTCTCTCCGGGTATCCTGTCTGCTTGAGTGGCAATCTAGAGTGTTTGTGGCTTTGCATTAGGCACTCAAGACAGATTAGGGATTCTGTTGCTTTACCACTTGCCCCCTGCCTGAGGTGGTCTGGGATATAGTCTTGAGAACCTGCAGAGCTGTTGGCCTCTCATTGAGGCCACTAAATCTGGGGTTGCCCAGGACTTCACAGCTGCCATGAAAACCATGGGGCTGTCCCAACATGTCCTTGGACCAACCTACTTGCTAGAGAGATTAGGAAGATGTTAAACAGCTAATATAAAGGTAAAGGTAAAGGGACCCCTGACAATTAAGTCCAGTCGTGAACGACTCTGGGGTTGTGGCGCTCATCTTGCTATACAGGCCGAGGGAGCCGGCGTTTGTCCACTTCTACAGACAGTTTTTCTGGGTCATGTGGCCAGAATGACTAAGCTGCTTCTGGCAAGACCAGAGCAGCACATGGAAACGCAGTTTACCTTCCTGCCAGAGCAGTACCTATTTATCTACTTGCACTGTGTGCTTTTGAACTGCTATGTTGGCAAGACCTGGGACCGGAGTAACGGGAGCTCGCCCTGTCACAAGGATTTGAACCGCCGACCTTTCGATCGGGAAACCCGAATGGCACAGTTGTTCAACCCACAGCGCCACCCGCGTCCCTCAAACAGCTAATATATTTCCCCCCTTTTTGTTTTTGGTGACTGACATCAACTCAGCATAAAGTCACTGTGCTGAATTTCCCCAGAATAATTAATGTAACCATTACCTTGCTACATGATTAATAACAGGAGCAAAGTTTGTTGGTCCATAAAGCTGTACAGATTTTAGACTCATGTAGTATGCTTCCATTACACCATCTATTCCACTGCAGTAAGGATTTTGCGGGTTTCCATTCTATAAGGAAAAACACAGGGGCAAAGTATTAATTCTTGCTTATAGGAATGCTGTGTATACCTCTTACCCAATAGCAGGAGGCTGACACAACCTCTGGTACATCTCATGATTAAAATGCAAACATATATAGCAGAAAAAGGCCAATATTTTCTACAATACTCTTAAAAATGAATGAAACTGAGCACAAATGGATCCACAAATATATATATATATATATATGAGGAACCATGAAACACAGGCAAAGAGGAATTTTTAAATATATAAAATTTAAAAACGATAGAACCATTCCTTACCAAGGCAAACTCATGAGACACTCTTCCGTCTGGCGGCAATTTTGCACCAAAACCTAGAGCTGGAAACATTTTGTCACTATCGTAGTCTTGAATTATTTCCCCTACTGCCCTCAGCGCCATGCCATAAGCATTCAGCTGGTATGGGTTCATATAATGGAGCGAGGTTGGGTGTGCAGGGTTACCTGTTAAAACAAAGCACATTGTTGAGAGGGGTTTGTGAACGTGTTGAGCAGTATGCCTTACAGTATCAATATATGAGATTCCACACTAGCTCTGTCTTAAGTATTAATTCAGATATGGAATACAGTGTGTTTCCCATGAAGAATTTGGATTTAAGTGTTTGCTCTAAATATTCTTTTTTATTTGGATTATTTAGGTGTATAATGAGGCAAATTCCATAGTTTCTGGCATGCTGAAGAAACTGTGCGTGCTTTGTGTGACTTTTTTTGAAGCATAGCCCTTCAAAACTGCATTAGCAACAGCTTTGGATTTCCAAAAGTGGCATGGACGGCTATTTTTTAAAAAAGCTAGAATGCTCAGTTTGGTATTTTGTTCTACAGATTGTGACTGTGGTTTACAGATATACACAATATTTTTTACAACAAAAGACAGCCTAAAGAAAGCCATTTTCCCTCTCTAGAGTGTAATGGGTGGGTTCCTGGCTTGAATCCTAATTTCTGTGAGAAGAGTTATGCCCACAGAAGGTAACTTATTTGCCCCCTGGTCCAGCTGCAGTCTTCTGCACCTCCTGGGAGACCCTCTGAACAGTATTGTAATGGATATGGGAGGGGGATGAAATATAGAGGAGAACAAAAAAGTGGGGGGGGACACAAGGGTCTTTTTCTTCCACATAAATATTTGGATCCAAATCTTCAAAACGTATTCTCACTAGAGTCTCCACACAATAGGACAAGCAAAATGAAAAATACAATGCCAAAACAGTTCACAAATACTGTGCGGATACTCAGTTTAATATAAACAAACCAATACTTACCATTCGAAGCTGTGAAATCAATAGCCACAGTGAAATTTATTTGAGTCCTGTGAAATGAAGTAAACAGACCAATGTGAAAAAATCTGAAGATGTAAGTTGCTACATGAGGAGTAATAAATCAAGAAAAACCAATAAAATGTCACTTAGACAAATGTGCATGTTAACGATACACAGAACTGCCAAAGAGCATCAAAAAGGTTATACTATAACATTACTTTGTAATTGTATACATGCATACCTAGGAATAAGCTCCAATAAACACAACAGCGCTGACTTACAAGTATTAGCATTATTTTAAATTCTTAATTGCTTGCTTTATAAATAGTCTAAGCGATTCATCAATTTTTTAAACATAAAGCATAACAAAACCGGAGCTAGGCTAGGAGAGCATTACAATTAAAACCATAGAACAGACTCAATAAAATAGCAATAAAGAACTTTGGCAGCAAATAATCACATTCCATCAAATGCCTGGGCAAAGATTAACATTTTTACCAGGTGCCAAAAACATGTTAATGATGGCACTAGGCAGACCGCATTGGGGAGATCATTCCAAATATAGGGAGCCACAACTGAAAAAGGCCTTTGTTTCCTCTGTTGCCACCTTGCAAGCCTCCCTTATAGCAGACATGTACGGGATTGAAGTATTCAGTATTTACTATTAAATTGCTACCTTATATGAGTAACTTCTCTAATGCAATATGCTTAAATATCTTGAGCATCTCACAATTTAAAGGGTACATATAAATTTAAAGTAGCAGGCCACAATTAAGAAGTGACAGTGCAAATTGTTTAAAAAGGAATTACCGTATATACTCGAGTATAAGATGACCTGAATATAAGCTGAGGCACCTAATTTTAGCACAAAAAACTGGGAAAACCTATTGACTCGAGTATAAGCCGGTTCACCACACCACAAACCTGGTGGTGGCGGCAGCAGCAGAGGAAGAACAAGCAGCCGAAAGGACCCTCACTTGATATAAGCCGAGGGGGACTTTTTCAGCATTAAAAATGTGCTGAAAATGTCGGCTTATACTCTAGTATATACGGTATCCTTTATTTGGTTTTAGGCTTAGGAAGGTTGACTTAATATGAATTCACAAATAAATATCACCTCCATTCAACATATACCAAAATTGCAGACAGGTATATAATGGGGGTGGGGGGGGGATCCCAAAGCCTCTTTAAGGTTGCCATATGTCCTCTTTTTCCAGGACACATCCTCTTTCTCATGGGTATGTAAAGTCGTCATAGCAATCCATAGTTAAAAGTAGAAGTCAGCAAATGTGTCCTTTTTTCTCTCTCTCTTCAAAATATGGCAGTCCTACCCTAGGTAATACCTTTATTAGTAACAGCTAAGGATCAAACTAGATATTGCGTGAAATGTGTTATTTTTCTCGTCTGGTTTTCTTCTTCTTGTTAAATCGCAGGTGTGGGGGGCCACCAAACGCACTATGTCCTTCTGCCTCATTCCTGATTAAGATGACTATTTTGTTCTACCAGCAGCTTTCCACCCACAGCAAATAGAAGCTCTGGGGGCAACTTTTGTTGGTACTATGCTACGGGGGGGGGGGTCCCCCCTTCTCGTGTACCATGGCCTCAATCCTGATCAGATGCTGCCACCTGCATGGCTGCCATTTGCGCGGCAGGTGAATTGTGAAGGCCTCCCCCTCCTTCCAGGCAAAGTGTGTCCGGGAGTATATAAAACTCAAGACACCCGTGTGGGTGAAAACAGGGGACAACTCTTTATTGGCTACAGGAAGGTATGCAGGGTTGGTATGGAATTAGATCAGGATCTGTAAACCCAGAAGACTTCCAATGTGAAGCTTGAAATACCACCCCCAGTATGCCTGCTGGGGAATGCCATGGCAGCTGACTAGATTAATAAATAAATAAATAAATAATAATTTATTTATACCGTGCCCATCTGGGCTTCCCCAGCCACTCTGAGCAGCTTCCAACAAAATATTAAAATACAGCAATGCATCAAACATTAAAAGCTTCCCTAAAGAGGGCTGCCTTCAGATGTCTTCTAAAAGTCTGGTAGTTGTTTTTCTCTTTGACATCTGGTGGGAGGGCGTTCCACAGGGCGGGTGCCATTACCGAAAAGGCCCTCTGCCTGGTTTCCTGTAACTTGTGCTTCTTGCAGTGAGGGAACAGCCAGAAGGCCCTCGGCAATGGACCTCAATGTCCAGGCTGAATAATGGGGGTGGATACGCTGCAGACCACGTAACTGGAATCTGGCTGGTAACCTGAGAGGAGTGGCACCACGCTTTGCCCACTGAGAACTGGTGCGGCTTCTCAGGACTCATTACAAGTCACAAGAGACTAAGGCCCTGCGGGACTTGACATCTTTTCGCAGGGCCTGCAAGACAGAGCTGTTCCACCAGGCCTTTGGTCAGGGCGCAGCCTGACTCCCTCCTTTGACAATCTTCACAGAACTTTAGCTTAATGGTTGCCATCAATTTGATTTTAATTAATTTTTATAATGAAATGTTTTTAGAATGTTGCACTATTTTATTGTTGTTAGCCGCCCTGAGCCCGGCTTCAGCTGGGGAGGGCGGGATATAAATAAAAATTATTATTATTATTATTATTATTATTATTATTATTACAAGGGTCCCCCTTATTTTCTACCCAGTGACGTTTCTACCCAAGCTGTGACAAACTGCTCCATTGAAACACCTAAGAGTCATGTGCTATTGCCTGAAAGGCAAAAACCTTTCAACCGAAGGCAAGCTCAAAAATATCAATTCACAGGAGAGGGAGGTTCTGCTCTTGCTGGACTTTCCCCTCCCCCTGCATAGCGTGATCTACCATCAACTGCCTGTGAGAAGGGCAATAATAGTAGAATAATATTATTTACTATGTTTTAAAAATATGTAACTTAACGGCACTTGTAAGCTGCCTTGGAATGATTTGTAATGAATTTGGAATTTGCGATGAAAGGTGGGATACAAATAATTGTAAATAAAGAAATTTAAAACCTTTGTGATACCAGCATTATAAATGAATCACTTACCCGCCTTTAATATAATCAAGAAATGAAACTTCGGTTTCCACTAGGAAGGAAAGTAACGTTACCTGAGAGCAAGTGACACAGAACAAGTAATAAACATCAACCTTCAAAACAGCCACAAATATAGAAGTTTCTGTACTGTATTTTAGAATTATTTTAAAACTTTTCCAATATACTGAAGCAAAGATGGTTTTGTGTGGAAATGGCATGTATTGGTAACCCCAACCCCACTCCACACACTTCTCTCACCCCAGCACTCACAATATCTATGAGTCTCCACCATAACTTCTCTTCCAGCCTCTTTATATACAAGCTGTTCCACTTGGCAGATTCCCTTCCACCAATTCACCTCCCCTACCAACCCTCTTGTAAGAGCCAAACTATTCATATATACACTGAGCTGTGCACATGTATCTCTATGCATTCAGAGACTGGCTGCATCATCCCATGAATTAGTTTTTTAAAATGTCATGGAGTCTGGTCAAAATTATTACCAAAGCCAAATTAAGAATGCTTTGGCTATACCTATTGCTCTGTGAACAAAGCAAAAGTTGCTATGACCTTCTTGCTCCTAGTCTTTAGCCAGGAAAAACAATCTCTCCTTGTTTCAACAAAGTAACAACCATTTACACTTCACTTCTAAAGTGTTCAGGAAGACACAATCAGCTTCAGTTAAACCAACACTATTCAGTCCAGGAGCTTCAAGCACTCACCTGTGAACTTTAACACTGGCTATTTAATTCCCAGGGAAGGCACATTTTCGATAGAAAATGAACCAGCTCATCTATAGTTTGATAACAAAAAAACCAAGTTCTTCTCATAATACAACACCTGTCTTATTTAGAGAACTTCTTGCCCAGATAACGCTTACTTAGATATATCTCACTTCAATATGTGCTGGGAAGGATAGAAAAACAATAATGAAGAAATGATTTACTTAACTGTTCCTGAATTAACATATTTTTTCTTTTTTGCCCTTTTCTTTGGGTTTATAACCTAGAAAAGAAAATGCAGGCACGTTAACTTTTCTGCTTTATAGATGGTATATAACACCGGTGAAATTAGCGAAAATGTATAAGACATGTAATAAGTGTAAAGATAAAGAAGGCTCTTTTTATCATATGTGGTGGGAATGTAAGAAAGTGAAAGGCTTCTGGGAAAGGATATATAATGAACTGAAGATGATTTTGAAATATACATTTATAAAGAAACCAGAGGCCTTTCTATTAGGAATATTAGGAAATAAGATAAAAAGAAAGGACTGTAAATTTTTCCAGTATGCAGTGACAGCAGCAAGAGTGCTACTGGCCCAGAAATGGAAACAACAGGAAATACCGACGTTGGAAGACTGGAGAATAAAGTTGTTAGACCATGCTGAGTTGGACAAATTGACTGGGAAGATTAGATACCTAAGAGACCAAAAGTTCATCGAGGACTAGGGGAAATTTGTGGAATATCTGGAAAGCATAAGTGAGGGACAGATAACGCTAGAGGGGTTTAAAAAAGCACTGTGAAAAACTGAGAAGTATTGTCTAAAGGGAAAAGAAATGAAGGGTATAAACAATGACAATACAAACTAGGGAATGCGTAATTAAAATAAATGATTATGGATGATTTACGGAACAGCTGAAGGAAGTCCAGAAAAGAAACAATTTGTGAAAAACTAGATGTGAAATCAGTATGTTTTGTTTTGTTGTAAATTAATAAAAATCATTTTTAAAAACTTTTCTGCTTGTCAACACAAATCTCTTTAAATTGTTAAGATGCACGTTTTTTTTAACTCTGCCGTGCTCCCTGCTTCTAAACTCCACCTTCATTATGCCAATAAAGGCTGAATGAATGAATGAACTCCATCTTCCCTAAATGCACATTTCAAACACCTCCCTAACCCAGCACAACCCATCTGACAGGGAAATGTGTATGACCCTGGCAAGGACCCCTGAGATGCATTTTGCTGCTGCTCACATTAATGTGTACATCAGGGCAAACTGATATTAAAAGATTTTATAAGGAATGCTCCCTGTTTTCCATCACCCCCATCTTCCTCACTGACTTGTAACAGAGGCAGTCATTCCACTAGTTGAGCTAAAAAGCCCTTCACTGGATTGAATAAAAAATAGTGTCCCACCAGTTCTTGTCACTGGAATCAATCTTACGGGTGGCAGGGAAAGAAACATTCAAAGGAAGCCTTGTTCACGTCTAGGGGCATGCAGGAAGAAATGAGTGAGGCTTGCAGGGAGGCAAAGTATAAAGGGAGCTCAGTTTGGATTTATGTCGGCTTTGATATCAGGGGATAGATAAGTTCTGCAGAGTTGTCTTCCAGTCTGGTGGGTAGAAGATGGAAGTGGCTGAGAGGGCAGATAGAAAATGAAATACAGCCATCCGTTCTAAGCTACTCTTTCCATTGCTTAAAATTGTAATAGTTGAATAGCTTTACTGTTTACTGTTCCTTAAATTCACATTCCCAAGAGATATTGAAACCCATCTGCTGCTTCTTTGCTGGCAGCTATGAATCACTGTAAATCCCATCAGGTGTGACCCCCCCAGAAGATTCCCTACCCTGGACACCTCCTGTCCTAAGTTGGTGTTCTCCCTAGATGTTTTGGAATACAACTCCCATCAGCACTGACCAGCATGATCAATGGTCAGGGATAACAGGAGTTGGGGGGGCACTGCATTTAGTATGGCTCCCCTATATTGCTTTTCTCACTGCATGTTTTCATATTCTCTTTGATGTCTGGAATTTTTCTTTTTGAGGAAGTCATCTGTGGTTACGTCTCTTGTTGAGACTTCCTTCTCTATCTAGCATAACTGCCGCCCTTTGTTTCTAAACTCTTGAAGCTGGCTGTACTTGCACACTGTTTAGAATTCATATCTTCTAATGCGCTTTTTGGATTTTAACCAATCTGATTCCTATCCTTGCTTTAATTTCTATTAATGATTTTCTTTTACCATCTGAAAAATGTCACAAAATTTTCAGTTTGCTTGTGATCATATCTTTCCTTCACTTTTGATAGCATATTATTTTGCAATATTTGTATAAACTTGGTTTCCTAAATTCTGATATTTCATTTTACTTCCTTATCACTCTAACTGCTCTTGATACGTCTTTTTCTGCTTCATGTCTTCTATCCATTTACTGTATGTACTCTGCTTTCTAAACTGAAACCCTTATTCTGATGCTCTCTCAACCTCTCTTTGCATTCTTTTGCTATTTCCATTTTCAAGTTAGTGATTTAGAGTTATATTTTTCAGTTCCTGATTCTACCTCATCTTCAATTACTCATCTCACTGCATGTCTTCCTTTAGTTCTTTTTGGATGATTTCTCACTTTCTTCAGTTGAATTTCTTGGGAGATTGATTTTCTTAAGTTTCTTCCTTCAGCTTATTTGGTTCCTTTAACTCTTAGTAGTGTTTCTATCTCCTCCTTCACACACCAGAAACTGGATGTGATTTTTTAAAACAGACACTTATCTAGTTCGGTTGCAGATCTAGGCACATTCAGTATCATATCATCAACTGGTTAACACTTTTAAAATATGTTCTTTTATCTCTAATGATACTGCTAAAATGCTTGCTTATTCTTTTACTTCATCGAGGCTTGATTACTGTAATATAATTTTTGTTGATCTTCCTTTATCCCATCTGTATCTTCTTGAATCTATTTTTCACTCTGTAATCTTTCAATTTTTGCCTATAAACATTATCATTTATCATCTCTTCTTTTTGCACTGACTCACACAACTTACAAAGCAAAGTCCACAGAATACAGAAAGCTAAGCTAAGCTGAGCTGAATAGGTCCACCCTGGATGACACAGAAAAACAGACCAAATGAGGGCAGGAAGGAGCTGAACTCCACTCTAAACGTTTCCTGCCTTGATGAAAGGTAGCAAATAAACACCCATGTGATGGCCTGCCGCCTATTGAAAATTTACTTATTTTTACAACATTGCACTTTGCTCTTTTCTTAATTTTAAAAATATACTTTTCAGAGGTTAGAGTTCCTCTGATACATCTATTTTACACCTCCATCCTCTTTCCTTAGCTACACCTCATATTTGAAACTCCATACAGTCATATAATTCAGTCACTCTCAACCTCTAGACATTGCTATTGGCCAGGTATTTCACTTTTAACTTACTACTAATGTCCCTTCCTTTTTCTCCCTTTGGAAGTGGGAAGGGAGTGGGAAGTACAGAGGTGACAGGGGTGGAAAGAGCATCTCTTCCCCAATTCCTGTCAACTAGGCTGACTTTCGTACCTGAGCTATTGAACAGAAAGCAGTGGAAATAATAATAATAATAAAACACCAGAAAGGAATGTGGGGTTCGAACCCATGTCCCTGAGATTAAGAGTTTCATCCTCTACCAAGGGAGCTATCCTTTACACGACGTATACAGGTTCAATAACTATGTTGAAAACTCAAGCTATATAATAAAATGGTGTTTATCTTTATAAAATGAACCCACAAATATATTGACTGCATTTCTAGAAAGTGTGTTCGCACACTTTGACTTATGGATTTTGTCCAGATTTTCTGCTTTCTATTACTAAAAGATAGGTGGTTAAACTATATAGTGGTGGCCCATATTACAAAAGGGCACATAGACAATTCATGATGTTTATTACCTGTACTTGAGGATATAAAAAAATCTACTGTTACCTCATAGACATTAAACTGCGACTGTCCTCTAGATAGCTCCCTATAACTTGTTGTGAATTCTCCAATGAAGTCATGACTAGGAAACAAAAACAAACAAAAATTCAGAATAGCGGATAAGCTGTATTATTGTAGGTCAAGGTGTGAACAAAATGCTAGCTAACACTTCCCAGTACAAGAGGCATTTTAGGAATTTGTCTAACGCCCCACAATTTGGCGCTCTGTTTTATATTCGAAAGTTTTTCATTGCTCCATGAAATTCACTAATAGGCTCCTGTTATCAACCAAACCCAAGCATTAAGAAATATTTTTTATCTGGTTCATTATCTGGTTCACATGATTACATACCATTTCCCCACAAAATGTGCATTGTTATTTTTTCACAAAGTGGAGTTAAAAGCATTTTAAAAACCCTCTCCCGTGTCAAAATGCATAATGAAGAGGTTTGGTATACATCAGATTGCAAAATAACCATGTGTACAATCAATAAGGGAGTGGCTCAGCAGACTCATGTTATTTCCTGCAAGCACACACATTCCTACATTAAAGCTTTTAAGCACAGGAATAACTGGTATAAAACTCCAAAAGCTGCCCAAATAGTCTATCACTATGTACGCCATACAATTCCTTTTGAACAATTAATGCTGTGCAATAAAAAAATTACCTTCCATCTCTATCCCAGTCGTATACTTCAATCTTAATTGTTCTGAAGAGAAACAAATAAAACACAGAAAAAGCTATACACATATACTAAAAAACTTGTCAACAGAAATAAATGAGTAATGTACTTTACTACTTGTATTTTGCATTTAAATATCTAATTTGTTTTTTAAAAAAGTGATTAAAACAAAGGAGAATATAATTTATTTGTAAGCATTTCCGGCTGCATTTCTAACAGATAGGTGCTCAAGGCAACACACCATAACATCTAAAAGCCTCAATAATAAAAATTCATTTAAAAATTAACCACTACACTCAACAGGTTCCAGCAATGCATGGGTAGGTTTTATTGTGAAAAGTGTGCAAGGTGAATAACCTGGAAAAGGGAGTTCTGTAGTGCTGGTGCCACAATGGTGAAGCCTTGCTCCTCCACAGTTAACAAGATAATACGGATCAGGATAATCACAGAATATACAAACATTAAACAAGGAAATGAGAATAAACACCATGGATTTGGAACAACTTTCATTGCAAATTCAACTGGCCATAACTCCATGATAGAGCAAATGTTTTGTAAGCCGAAATTTACAAATTGAATCCACAGTATCCTGAGGTGGGACTGGGAAACAATTCTAGCCGGCATCTCTGGAGAGCAAAAGGTTAAGTAGGTAAATAACCCCTGGAGGGTTGAGTCCAGTCAAAGGAGACTATGGGGTTGCGGCACTCATCTCGCTTTCAGGCCAAGGAAGTTGGCATTTGTCCACAGACAGATTTCCAGGTCATGTGGCCAGCATGACTAAACTGCTTCTGGCACAATGGGACACCTTGACAAGTGCCAGAACGAACAGAAACGCTGTTTACCTTCCCGCTGCAGTGGTACCTATTTATCTACTTGCACTGATGTGCTTTCGAACTACTAGGTTGGCAGGAGCTGGGACAGAGCAACGGGAGCACACCCTGTTGCGTAGATTTGAACTGCTGACCTTCCGATCAGCAAGCCCAAGAGGCTTAGTGGTTTAGACCACAGCGCCACCTGCGGCCTGTTAGTGGGTGAGCACTACCAGTCAGAGCAGACTGTACTGAGGTAGATAAACCAGTGGAATGACTTTGTAAAAGGCAACTTATGTTCCTAAGCATTACAGTTTTGCTCTGAAATATTTAATACCTATTCTTGTCAATGGTAAATGACTCTTGGCAATTACTGAATTACTGTCTTATGCATTTTCTTCTGACAGTAACAGCTTTTTCTATTTCATGGAATCACCCTGTATCTCAGGACATCTCAAGGAATTTTGTTTGTGGTACAGAGATATCTGAAGCACATGGAACCAAACCATCATAAGTCTAGAACAGTTGGGACAGACTGTATTAAGATCTAGATTAGAGAGGTACAAATATTTGTCATATTCCAATTGTAAGAAAATGGCACTTTAAGGAGGCTGTATTCTAGAACAAATAAGTACTAAACCAAGTTGTCACAGCAAGTGCAGCATATTTAGATTTTCCCCTAGCTATACATTTCTATGAGGGTAGGTCCAGTTATCCAAACTAACAACTACTCATTCCATGGGTGATTGACAGGCAGATGTAGCAATAAGATATACGGTAAATACTGCTGCTAGTGTACCTAATAACTAGGAGAAAGGTATTCTTAAAGAGCACAGTACAAGAAAAATGTAATAGGAAACATGTGGATTCTTGGATCTACTCTCAGAGAAATACTTTTTTTTCCCAGGAGCAAATTCCTTGCCACAGCAAAATCTCCAGTCAATCACACAAAAGGGTAGAATATACCAATAGCCAAACAAAGGATGGAAAATATGGCATTCCCTGGTGTGTATGCTTCTGGATTACAGATGAGAATTGTTAATAAAAATTACATCTCTCTTAAAATGCTAATAATGCTGTATGAAGATTCCAGCAACAGCTTTGCAGGTCTCTTCAGCAGAAGTTGCAGCCTATTCTAGTCCTGTGATGGTCTTATTGGGAAAGATGCTTTTCATGAAAATTCCCTGAATTCCTTGTCAACCACAGAAATCAATTATTTTAGACACTGTTTTGACTTTCTGCTCAGTCCCAAGTCAAATGAGGGTATTAACTTGTATATATAAATTTTGTAAGTAGCAAAGCATCATGTGGAGTCATAAACATTTGTCATAAGTTAGCTCAGGGGTTTTCAGGCACAAACTATGTTTACAATGGCCGCTTGCCGAGTCCTGGGGTGGGCAGCCAGCAGTTGGGAAATCTTCGTGTGGGAGTCCCCACCAGTCCCAATTTTGAATTCTGGCCAATCAGGCCAGTCCATGGGGGCAGGGCTTCAGAGTGGAACAGGCTTCACTCCCGCTTGCCTCCTGGGACTCAATATTCATGCTTTGGGGCTTGTTTTATATTACAATTTATTCTTCTAGGTTATGTGATTACTAGCTTTGCTGTGGTTCTTTAATGGCTTCCATATTCAGAGCTGGGAAGGAATTTGCCTTCAAACAGATTGGCCCCGTTGGAAGGTTTTGGAATACTAAAGGTGCAATCCTTTCAACAGTTAAGTCTAACCTAATTGCATCTATTTCATTTCCATTTCAAGCAAATATTGAGGTCAGATAATTAAGCAAGGTTATTTTCCAAAGTATTTAAGTTGTCTTGTAAATATTTATTTCTTAAAGGCAATTTATATCATTAAAGTTCTGAAGTTTGGTATGACTAATCCCCCTCTAATTTGAAAGGGGGAGGGCTTTCCTCTGAAAATGAAGGAAAGACGGTGAATGCTATTAGGTTTTCTAGAACTCAAGCATGAAACTCATTCTGAGAAGTGCCACTGCTGATTCTACTTAGTTTGCTTAGTTCTGAATGCCTTGATTTGCCTGGGTTATGATATAACCTTATCAGACTGTTATAAAACGTCTGCCTTCCACTCAGTTTCTTATGTGGCCCATAAGATGGAAAAGACAGAAGACGAGGTGGATCAGCTGAGGCAGAGATGGCATCAGCAATGTCTGTAAGCGCCTCAGTGATCTGACTTATAAAAACAACTGAATGAAGTAACCAAGATGGGGAAGATACCTTTCCATCCATTTCTGTTTCACTAGATGTTCATGTGATGACTGCTACTTATGAAAAAGAAGGAAGGAAGCACCAGCACATTCTGTTAGTTGCTTTGTAGGCTGGTTTTTATCCCATAAATTCTGAGTAAGAGGACACCTCCAGGAACCTTTAACAAAAAGAATTTTTCTTGAGAAAAGCAGTATCATCAGTATTTGCTTTGCAGTGACAAAGAGCAGTAACTAGTTTCTTAGTGCACTAGCAACAGTGGCTCCATGTTTCCAGAGAGTTTGCTTTTTATCTGCTTGTCAATCATCTGTGGAGAGTGGTACCTATTACTATACTGAAAATACTACAGTACCCCATGTACCTCTTACATATGAACACTTAACTAAATGAATGATGGTGATGTTAACATTTACTTAAAGTTTTGAACTGATATTATGCCTTCTAAAAAGATTAAACTAAACTGAGGAACCTCCAATCTTTGAAAACTTTACTTAAGACGAAAGGTTTAACTCTTACCTGTCAAAATCTCCATTGCAAAGTGCTCTGACAGATATCTTGAATGCCTGCCACACTGGATTTAATGTATTCTTTATCACTTCTGTCTTGTGGCAGATTGTAAAGCTGAAACACAAACAAGCTTTTCTTATTTTAATACTTATCTAAAGGTATTGATAGTTTTGAAAACAAATCCACCAAGTGGGAATACACTGTAATTTATGTGAATTTTTCCCCCTAAAAAATGAGCACTATTTCATTTTTAGTCATGTGAACAGCTTTCAAATTAATCTACACATATAGCTATACCACACTTCTTTTTCTTTTTATGGAGCCCACATGATGGGTAGCAGCAGGAAGTGGAGGAGGAACTCTGGCAAGCAGAGGAGGGGGCTTTGATGGGGCTGTTGTACCACTTCATATGTGAGGAAGAAAATATTCAGACTCCTTCCCTTATAATGTTTTGCAGCAAGAGTTCTTGATTATTAGATGTTGCCGTTTGGGATTAAAGCAGGGAGGAGGTGCCTGAATTTTTTTTCTACCTCTCTGAAGACAGAACAAAAGCCTCAAGACAAGTTGTCTCCTTTGCACCAGGATGCAACAGCTATGGTGCTGTTTACTGACCTTCTCTCATACTGGTATATTTCTAAACACAGAGAATATCAATATTTTAATTGTCGACACCAATAAGAAGCTTCTAGAGCAGGAACGGTGAACATGCTGCTCTCCTGCCCCCAATGTTTGTATGTCTGTTGCTTTCTCATTCTGCAACGCTCAGAAAGCTGCAAGGATTTCAGGGTATGTCTGGTGCCTTGTCTACTCCCATGCACAATGGTCTGTGGGGAATGAAGTTCCCAGATTTCCTCTTCCCTGCTGGAAATCAAAGGGCAGAGCCACAGGAGAAGCCTGTTCTAAATAGTGAAATTATGCTCCAGCTAATGGCAACTAGTGACCTGACCCAAACACCTAGATGTGGTACCAAAAACTCACCATTTCTGGTTCTGTGCTCACAATCACTAACCCAAGAGTAGAATCCCATATCATCCGTATAAGCACATATGAAACTACGGAAAAACCATGGTGATTATGAGCACGACACGATGATTAAAGGGTATAAGTATCTAACTACTTCGGGTTAAGTGATCTTGAATAAGCCTTGTTACAGCTCACTGGGTCTTCCTCTTTACAATGGCTCCATTCTGTGAACAAGCAGCGTGTGAACCACACTCACAATTTGCTTCTCCTGAACAAATTGCCAGGATCAGTAAGCAAAGAAGAAACCTTGGTTTAACATTACAGTTTGGTCAGAAACAAACCATGAGTGTTGGTTCACACGTTGCAACTAAGCCAAGACTTGCTATTTGTCGCTTCTGGCTCTACAAGGGAGGAACAAAAGGGGAGCAATTCAGCAGCATGCACTTGTGTGCTGCTCCTTCACAGAAAACCATGGCTTATGGCTTACTATGATGACTCCAGGCAAAATGGATGCCAATAGTAAATCATGAGGGATGAAAATATGATTGGTCTCATTTTTCATCACTGCAGATTCCCAAGTGGAGATGAAGATGCACACACCAGGTCTTTTCTTTCCTGCCTTGTTCCCAGATGAGATCATACCCAACCAGACAATGGATTCCAACTGATGCAAATGAAGAGGCACATGCCGTCAGAAAGCAGTATTGCCACAAGCAACTTTCAATAGGTTCTTTTACAGTTTTCTCCATCTCACCGCCATCTGATGTATAGCAACTATATATATACTTGGATACTATCAAGGCAGAGAGAAAAGCGATTTGTCTACGGCTGCAAGTCAGGGGTGGCTAACATTTGTCCCGCCCAAAAAATGCTGTGGCTGATGGGAATTGCTGTCCAACATCTAGGGACCCAAAGGTTAGCCACCCCTGCTATAAATGAGTAAGTAACCAAAAATCTTCCAGAACATAGTGTTGTTAGCATGTTGAAGCATGTCGTCTGCAAACTAATCTGCCTTATTACAAACCCAAAATTCTGGATCATTAACAAAAAATATTAAATAGCACCAGACCCATACCAGATATGGGGAGCACTGCCTACTTTCCTCTGTCATGAGAACTCTGTGTAACTCTGTCTCCTTTTCCATAAACAATTACTGGCTCACCATCTTATGCCAAAAGTATTTTGGAAGTCCAAGTATATAATGATTACTAGTTTACCCTTTTCAAAATGTTGATTGCTCTTGCATGAAACCAGTATCTTACTCATTGTTCCAGTACCAACCCACTAAAATAGGCAATTTAGGCATATTTAATGCACAGAGGTGCTTGCGCAAAGAGTTCCCTAGAGCACTGGACTGTTTCAATTTCTAATCAACAGCACTCTAAAGATACAAGACTGCTGAAACTGTAAATATTGTTTTTAACCACTCCAGCTGTTTTTTTCCCTCAGTTCAGGATTTTTTTTAGTTGAAAAGTTAAGAAACCTAGACTTATCTAAGAAACCTAGATACCCAAATCACTGTTATTCATTATAAGCATCTGTTAGTGATTTATATTTTTTTGAGCAAGACCACATTTGAAAAATTGCATAAATATGAAATATTGTTGGTTTGTTTAAAAAGCTATTGAAGCAGGCATATGGAGGAAATACACATTCTCTCCTCATCAGTGTAATTGTGACTTGTATTTTGAAACAAGAGGTTTGTAAGTCTAGAAAAAATAAGACAAGTGCACTGTGAAAGAGAAACTTTTAATACACTACACACAAAATCCCCTGGTCACCCCTATAATTTACAACACTTCATGTTTAATAGAAGAAAATAAGAGTATCTACCTGCCATCTTCATTGCTGCGAAAAAATACCAGGAAGGGATCAGATTTTCCAAAGAAATCTTTCTTGTCCAATTTGTTAGCACAAAACTGCATCAGTACAGCATCCTAATAATAGAAGAGTGTAATACAAATTAAATATATAATTTATACCAAGCATACTATTTACACTGATTAAAAACTGCATAAGTATTAGGCATCAAGTTTACATTGCTTTCATTTTACTAACCAAAAAAGAGGTACTACAAAGTAATTTTTGGTTTTCTTTTCATTTGCTACCAAGATGGGAACATAGTCATGAATTTTGAGTCATTTGTGTCACACATATCATATCAAATATTTTAATCAATTTATTCATAATTTTAGGCTTCTGAAGCTATACTGTTAACAAAATGTCAATTACAAATTAAGAGATAGCAAGGATTTCTTGTTCCTTCTCCCACTGCAATTACCCAAATATCATGTTAGAATTTATATTAGTTCTACAACAGGAGATATTCTTTATTTGCTCTCCATTCTGCTCTTTGACAACCTCCAATAATAGTTAATTTAAAAAAATATATAAAATAAATACAATAGCATAAAATGCCACAAAACTGTATCAACAGAAAAAATACCACTTAGAAACCACAGCTTTAAATGGTATATAAATTGCTAAAATAAATAGAAAGGGAACAAAAGAATTAATAAAGCAACCCTTTTCTGACACATTTTTATGTATAGGGAGGTGTTTTGCTTATGTGAGCTCATATCCTCTCTGGTTGAAGGCTATTTGAACTGCACCCACTGGCTGCTGATTCTACGTGACAAGCCATTCAGGACCAGGAATTTGGTATGTGACTACCATGCTGTTTTCTCCACACTGTTGCAACATTGCGGAGGCAAAACAAGTGGTCCTGAATGATCCACAAGGAAAGCAGCTACTCGTGAAGAAAAGCATGTAGATTTTGACCTGTCTACATGTGGTAGCCATTTTATTACAACGAGCCTTGCATTTAGCTCCAGCATCCATGCATACATACTTGGTTTAACAATGGTAAGTCCTGTTAAATTTTAAGACTAATAAAAACTGGGACTATGCATCAACACAAAATATTCCTTGAGGAGGAGCTGCAGCTCAGTGGTAGATAGGACATATTCTGCATGCAAAATAACCCAGGTTCAATCTGTGGTATCTTCATGTAGCAAAGACTCCTGTCTGAAACCCTGGACAGCCACTGCCAATCAGTGTCAATACAGTCAAACCTCAGTTCTCGAATGGCTCCATTTTTGCACGTTTTGGCCTCCAAACGCCGAAAACCCACAAGTAAATGCTCCGGTTTTCGTAAGCTTTGCGGAACCTGAACGTCCAACGCGGCTTCTGCTTGAGTGCAAGAAGCTCTTGCAGCCAATCAAAAGCTGTGCCTCGGTTGTGGTTCGAGGACCCGACCCCCGCGATGTGAAATAAATACACAAGGACACGTGATATAAGGTTAATGGGCAAGAAAAGGCCACAACTTTATTGATTACAGCAGTGAAAAGGTATTGGCTTAGGCATTGGATGTCTAAAACAAGGGGTTTATTCACCAGTAGGTGGAGCCTGTTGATGCTAATCCAACTATAGGCTCTCCCCTGATGTCACTGCCATGGCCTCCCGCCAAGCAGGCATCGGACAGAGTACACGACCGCCAGATTCCTTTAACGGAATACCCAAAAATTGAAGGCATAGGCGATGGCCACACCCAGCCCTTCGACACACCACAACACATTATTCCAATGCCTAACCTACCCACCAATGCCACAAAAAGTTGTGACGATTGCTGCGAGGTAGGCGAAAAAACCAAAAAGCCTAATGCCAAATGGAAAAATTCCTACCAGGCCCCCCGGACAACCAGGGTGACCAACCTAAGGTCCATAGCAAGGCCAAAGAACAAAGACCCTGAGCTAAAAGGGAGTGGAGGGTGGGTGACTCGCGACGAGAGGACGGAGAAGAATGAGGCCGAGGAGAGGCTGGCGCCGCTGCAAAAGGCTGCTGAACGTGCCCCCTCGAAGGCACCTGGTTGGATGCCTGCCGAGGGGGCGTGGGCGCCAGCCAGGTGAGAGGAGGAGGCAGGGGGCTAATGCCCCTGCTAGGGGCGGTGCTCGGGCTCCCACCCACAACCACTCCCCTCTCTTCCAGGGAGGAGAGTCTTTGTCAAACATTTCAGAAGGTGAAGGGTCTTCTGGAACGGATTACGTTCGAAAACCGAGGTTTGACAGTATTACTGAGATATATGGTCTGACTTGGTATAAGGCTGTGTCCTTTGTTGTTCCTAAATAGATTTAATTATTTAAAGCAGCACAAGATTAGCTCTACTTCTATAGCAAATGCCAAGACGTCTACTCTTCAAAGTCTGATTACAGTGGTACCTCAGGTTAAGAACTTAATTTGTTCTGGAGGTCCGTTCTTAACCTGAAACTGTTCTTAACCTGAAATACCACTTTAGCTAATGGGGCCTCCCCTGCTGCTGTGCTGCCGCCGCGTGATTTCTGTTCTCATCCTGAAGCAAAGTTCTTAACCCGAGGTACTATTTCTGGGATAGCGGAGTCTGTACCTCAAGCGTCTGTAACCTGAGGTACCACTGTATAAGCATGCAATAGCTAGTCTTAAAAGTCTAGCAATATACACATGGATTTAATACAACAACAACAACAACAACAACAGCAACAGTACCCTACCCATCTGACTGGGTTGCCCTAGCCACTCTGGGCAGCTTCCAACATACATAAAAACATAATTAAACATTTTAAAACTTCCCTATGCAGGGAAGCTTGTATAGTTACTTATCTCCTTGGCATGTGATGGGAAGGCGTTCCACAGGGTGAATGCCCCTACCAAGAAGACCCTCTGGCTGGTTCCTTGTAACTGCACTTCTCGCAGTGAGGGAACCACCAGAAGGCCCTTGGTGCTAGATCTCAGTGTGAGATGAGGGAGTGGAGACACTCCTTCAGCTATACTGGACTGAGGCCATTTACCGCTGTAAAGGTCAGCACCAACACTTTGAATTGTACTCTATGCTAACTAGGAGACAAACAATATACTTTGGCAAAAGAAAACCAAAATGTGAACTTACCCGGCAACAGTTGAGCTCCTCTGCTGTCATTATTATCGTGCCGCATTTCTTCCCAGGAATTCCTCTGTAACAAAACAACATTGTAATAGCAATTAAATACAAGGATTCCAAACTCACCAGTTCATTCCTCTCCAGAGTTCCCTCTCTGCATTCTCCATCCATCAACCTGAGCAAGCTCTCATATATAGTCCTGTGGTACTAATATATGCCATTCTCCTTAACTAATAGGGAAAGTAGAGGATCAGTGTATCACTGCACCATAGTGTCTTTACTTCTGGTGTTCCCACAACATGCAGAGGATTATGATTGGGGCTAAAAGACCCAGGGAAATATTGGTTTATGGGTGTTATGTTGCAAGCGAGCACAAAATGTGAGATTATCAGTGATGAAGGAATTTTTTTTGGTGCATTATTTTTCCACCAAAAAAATTCCATATCTCCCATTCATTAGTAACAACAAATTGGTGTCAACTGCAAATAAATATTAGGCATGCTTGACAGATTCAACATTTTCGGCTTTGTTTAGTAAATATAAGTAAAATAAACATGCTAAATTAGATCACTTTCTAGGGCATCAGAAAAAATTCCTATATATATTTTCCAGAAAACTCACATAACTGGGGAGCACAAAACTTAATTAAAAGATTAAACTTGGCTTTTTAGCCTGTAAAACTCAGCATCTATACTATATGAAAATACAGGAAATGTTTCATACATCTGACTAATCTGTAAGTTAAGGCCATTTTTACTGTCGCCTGCACGTTATTCCTGCTTTTATCACCTTCATAGTTTGTCCCCCAAAGCCAGACAATGTAGTGCACTGAGGTTTAGCTCCAGTGGGGGAGAGGGGCTATAGCTGGCAAAGTGGCTTTCACAACCCTGCAATGTAGTCCACTGTTACAGACTGCAAATCAAGTGAATAGGGAGGAAGTATCAAAAGAGTTGTAAAGCAGAATGTTAGAGGAAGTGGGCAAGGCAAGACAGAAAATATTGTAAAGTCAGGGCTGCTCCACTCACTCACTCACTCTCTCAAACACATACAGCTATGAAAAGGCGCATCACATGCCAATGGCATCACATTACACACTCAGGAGCATACTACCTATTAAGCACAGACCATGCAAAAGTACACAGCACACAACTGCACACTCATGCAGAAGCACATCAAATGTAAACATGCATAGTAATTCTACACACACAGTGGCATATCACCTGCAAATACACTTAGCAGTATTCTACATACAAGCACACATAGTAACATGAAGCATGCAAAAAAGGTCTGCAACACAGCACACACAAATTCATGCAGGAAAATGCCTCAAACAAACAGGCACAGCAGCACAACGCCCACAGAGCAGCAAAGTACATGCAAAGATTTGCAGGAGTGTGGCACTCACATAGTTACATATAGCAGCGTGTCACATGCAAACAGAGGAGAATATGCAGCAACATGCAAAAGCATGCCGCACACAAACACTATGCAAATATGTACAGCACCATGCAAAGGAGCATGCCCAAAGCTGGGCCAGAAATGCCCTCTATTTTCATAAAGCCATTCACCTCTAATGGAAGTGGCAGGTGGAGGTTTATTTAACAGGCTTTGGGCAAGGGGATAAAATTTCTAGTTAATTTCATAGGGAGCAGGAAGGGTTACCATAAGATGAAGTGGCAGGAGTTTTAAATTTTCTCTCTCCCTTTCTTATAAAAAGTTTCACTGCTGCTTCAAGAGGTGGCACAGCTGTCATTCTTAATGCAATCAGCTTTCTTAATTCTTCTAAAATGTCCCAATGGGAACAAAGCTATGTCACAATGCTGCGTCGCTCCCAGAGAGTCATTTTAGGGAAATGCAAGCACATGCAGCACTATGCAGCCACATGCAAACACACACAGGAGCTTCCTTTCCCCATCTACAAATACACACTTCTGCAGACTGCTTGCGCCGCCAATGGCCATTTTTGCTTTGGAAAGCAGGTTCCACCAGGGAAGCTTCAATCTGCCAAATAGATGCGAGTTTTAAAATTGCCTTTAGTTCAGTGACTGATTTAAAATGGGAACTTGTAACAAGGCTATATAATGGAGTTTTACTGAGGTAGCTAAATGCATATTTTTGCATTTGACATAATTATGTTTTAGGCAAGAGGAAAAAAGATTGCAGCCGATGGTCTTGCTTGGATGGAATGTTAACCCCATAGTTTTGAGTCATGAGAATCGCCAACAATAAGCCTTCAGCTCACAAGCTCCCCTCACTGTTTGCTTCTTAGATATGGCTGCAGGGAAGAGCTCATAAGCTTTTGCTTCTGTGTTAGATTGACTGCAGCTTGTCATTCTATTCTGAAACCAGCTGAAACCAGACCAACTGTGGTTAATCTTAACTATGGTTTGTTGAAACAAGCCAAGTTCATAAACGGTGTCATTTGGTTAGATTATACCTCGAAAAAGTGGATTTTCCATGTCAAATTTCCTATTGATAGAACTTGATTTTTATGGTGGCTACAATTTCAGGCTATATAATGATGGAATGCTGAAAAAGCAATTCACCTTAATTGAAGACAGTGCTATAATTTACTTTAAAACAGCACCACACAAATTCAGAACACCCAACAGTGAATAAAAAATGACATTCCTTGACAGTATTCCCTGTCTAGAATTTTTATTTGTCAAATACCAGAGAACACAAGGATCTGCCAGACCCAAAGGCAGGATCAGTAGCTAGTGGGAAGGATATAGGAAGTTTAGCATCAGTTTCTTTGAAAAGAATACACTTACATGATTGACTTTTCTAATCTGCTTCCTTGCGATCCAACAATCTCTCCAAGCGTACAGAAAACTTGTCCCAAGAAGTCCTGAAAAATTATTATGAAAATGATAAATCTAAGTCCCCATCCCCACTTTGCACTTAGTAAGCTTATGGGTATGAGAAATGCAGTATTTAGATAGAATAAAAGGCTTTATTTGGACACACTGATTAATTATGGTTCATAATTAATGCTTAAGTGAGCATTGCACCTTAACCTGGGCAAGTTTGGAACCTTGCTTTTCATGAACCAAAGCTTGTCACGCTGTCTGGATCCAGAACTATCTTAACTATGATAAGCTGCAACAACAAAAATTTTGAGAAGTGCAGGAGGAAAATGTTTCTTTCTTCTTCATGTACTGGTGTGGATATTGGAGGACAGACTCCCCATAATCTCTACGTTCAGTGAAGGGTCAGAATTTGAGCAAACTTATAATTTCCTGAGTTTAGCAGGGGCTGGGAATACCAGCTAACTTCCTCCTGAGGCCACCCTGTTGATGGTGGTTGTGAAACAAACAATGGTGCTGATGTCCACTCCTGGGAAGATTGACAACTGTCTTGAATGTTGTCCACTTCTGTTAGTATATTGCAGCAAAAATATTTAGAGCACATTGTAGTATCTTAAAGACTAACAGATGGTATGATATACGGTAAGCTTTCATGGACTCAAGCTCACTTCATGAGATGCATGAAGTGAAATCGTAAATGGCATGTATATAAAGGACAAAATTGTAAGGTAGGAGTTAAATAGCAATGAGATGCAGAAATTACAGTCAGGGATAATTAGAGCTTAAAATACATAAAATGTGTACATGAGATATGGAAACACATAAGGTTAAAATAAAGTAGCACTTACATGTTTCGATAAATTTGGACTCTTTGAATCCACATCATACCTAAAATGAAAAAGAACAAAATATTTTAATCTACTTATAAGCTCAAATACCCATGTAAAACAATGAAGTAATCTTGCTGGTTAAAACTGGGTTTTAGCTGGTATTGTGTAATCTTTCCATCATTTGCATTGTAATGTACATTGTAATGTGTATGATGGCGGAACTCTCTATGTCTGTTCAGGTGAACGTCGATTTAGCTGTCAATGCAGAACCTTAACCCTTAATGCTTGGGGTGGGAGTGGAGATGGAACTCTCAGTATGCAAAAGAACAGAAGTTCCGCATGTTCTGATTGGTGGGTACAAGTTTTGAATTTGGCTGGGGTTGGACTAGAGTGGCCAGAATAAGTGTATATATGGCTAGGAGCTGGCTATATGGTTGGAGGGTCCATGACTGGCAATTGTTATGGACAGCCAGGAGAAGGCAACAGAAGTGGATCAAGGAGGAAGAAAGAAGACCTGAAAGGATGGCAGAGTGGCTTGGTGGCCAGAGGATTGCTGGGATAGCTGACTCACTTGCCTTAGGCTGAAGAGACAAGTGAAGAACCTTTCTAGAGCACTGATGGAGAAGAAGTGATGTGCTGTTTGGAATGCTAGGCAGGAAATGTCTGGTAGGAGAGCCAGGGGAAGATTCCAGGAAAAAGAACAGCAAAAACAGACCTGCACTTAAATAGGTCAGCAGAACTTGAAGCAGAGGCTTCAACAAAAGTCTTCAGTTATAGTGCTGGTGAGGCCTAACGGGTGGATGGCAATCTGGAAAAAGTGTTTTAACAAGGTTGCTAAAAGTTTCCTCGAAGCTGACCGGGTTTAGTAACCATAGTGTAAAATAATAATTATACCAAGGAAAACTGTAGTTCCATTAGCTGAATTTGAAACAACATAGTTTGCTGTAGTGAATTAACTGGAAACATGTTTTACCACTACATTAAGATACAATCTAATGTCAAAATGTTTTAAAATTCCACTTCATTAACTATTCTTGTAGATCAGATATACTGTCATAATATAATCAAACCCCAAAGTATATAAATAAACTTACAAGTCAAATCGCAGGTTCTGTCTCTCTTCAAAAAAGTAATCCAATATAAATTTTCTCACAAAATCTGGGTTCAAAGTATTGTCAATTACTTCAGTTCTCCCAAACTGTAAAATAAGATGTTGTGGGAAGTATATCAATAAAAACTACATATGTTAAGTACATACGCACACACAAGACAAAAAAAATGAAGAAATATAAGGTTTTCATTTGGCAGGGAAAGAGACCTCGCTAAAAGCAGCTCCTAGTCTGAGACTATTCAACACCCAATGAATGTAATTTTCATCAATATTTATTTTACTTAAGATCTCAGGAGCTATCATGCAATATTTGTTTACAATATCTTAAGAGGTGCCAAACAGAAATCAAACAGACAAACCATTTTCCAAAATATGCAGCCGATATCCTGAAGTAAAGTATTGCAATAAACGCTGCATTTTATAAATTTTCCAGAGATAGGGTATATACATCATATTAATTTCTCATACAAATTTTCAGAGGTTATATATAAAAATAATTAAAAACTAAACCATTGTTTGAGCCATGAAACATGATATAAAGCTTCAGAACAAGTGAAGAGTTAAGGAAAATCTTTAGTAATAGTTGGAAAGAACAATTTCTGCTAATTTGCTCAGAATCTGGAATTGGCAGCGGATGCAGGACAGGGCGTTATAACTAGCAGACACTATTAAGCAATCTTTTCCTCTGAGATTCTAAGCAAAGTGCCAATTAACAACATTTTACTTGTATTTGTTTTTAAACAGCACACAAACAAAACTTCTAAATCTCCCAGAACACTTTAATTGCTAAAAGGAAGATTTCAAAGTGGACAATTTATCTTCTCCATTAGAACCAAGAAACTCAGAATCAGGAACAATCTAAATGGGAGCATCTACAAAAACCTAAAATCAATACACCAGGGAAGGGCCGGTCTACAGCTCAGTGATAGAGCATCTTTGCATGCAGCGGGTTCCAAGTTCAATTGGCAGCATCTCCATGTATGAATGGGAATGTTCCCTGTATATGACCCTAGGAAGCTGCTGTCAATCAGTGAAGAAAATACTGTGCTAGATGGACCAATTGCCTGACTTTATTTAAGGCAGCTTCCTATATTCCTAATATTGTATGGGTTAAGGCTATGGCGTTGACTAAGCTTACTACAATATAAGTCATGAAGTCCAACATTTTAAGGAGATGTGTTTCTGTAGCCTCCAAAAATATGGAATTTGGCATCAAAGGGATAGAAAGCTCTGGGAAGTAATAGTAACATCAGTTGTCACAGATTCTAGACAGGTGCTTCAAGCTATGACTACAAATCAGGCCTCTTCTCCCTCAACTGTCATCTGGGGGCAGCCATTTCATCAGACTGCCTCACTGGGAGAGGGATGAAGCAGGGTTCATTGCATCTGCTTTGCTTGAGGCCCAGCTCCATCAAGCACCTAGTGTAGCTTTGCCTGCTTAACAGCAGTCTGAAGGGGGAGTGACTCTACCTGCAGATGATCAGCCTTCAAGGACACAAGAGGAGAAGGCACTGATGGGAACCAGCTGGCTCTGGCCTTCTTAAACAGAGCTCTCAGCAGCAGTCAAATGCCGGAAACAATACTTGTGGTTCCTGGCTCTATCTTGCTGCTTGCTATCTGGATCCCTAGACTGGACCCTTGGCTCTGTGGTCATCTGGATTCCCTGACCTCTAACTGTCTGACTTTGTATGTGGATTCTGCTCTCAGACAAGTGTTCCTTAGAGACTCTTAGCCCTTGCTTGCTTGGCAATGGGACTCGGACGGGGATACAATACCTCCTGCTTCTGAACTATGCCAGCTGGTCAATATAGGAACAACTGTCTAGAAACTGGAGCCTCAGCTTTGAGCTTTGTTCTTTTCCCCTCGTGTGTTGTATTTTTATTTATTTATTTGAATGTAAACCTGCAGAGTGTCTAGGGAGTGTCTTGTTTAGCTTTCTTGTAAGCCGCTCCGGGAGACTTTTTGGCTGAAGAGCAGCATACAAGTGCTCTAAATAAATAAATAAAAAGCGCCACAAAGCAAATGGAAGCAGAGTGTCAGATGTTACCTCCCTGCATCTATAGATCCACTGTCCACTGATAGGTCCTGCCAATCCAGGACTGGCTTTTTCAGCCAGTGCAGAAAATGTAATTAATCTAAGTCACTGCCAGAGATGCTGCAAATCCAAGCTCTTAGGTGGATCAAGAAATATAGCCAATGAATAAATTTACAGCTGATACTAATATTTCTGGAACTCCAAATTGGAAGGCTTTGAAATAATACCTTCAGGCATCTTGATGAATTTTACAATTGAGGCTTTACCCTTGGAAACCATGAATACGTTGAAAAAGAAAATACAATGATACACATTTGTACCTGAACATATTTACTTGTGCTGCTGTCAATGGGTCTTAGTTCAGAGTAAATAAACATGACTTGCAAGAAGAAAACTTATATTATGGTAGTATAACAAGGATTGGGGAACAGAGTACCTTCATTCACGCATCAAGGTAATCCATACATACCAATCTCACCTGCTTTGCTCCTCCCTACTAGAATGTCTAAGAAACAAACCAAATTAAGCCAAGAACAATTCCTCTCTACAGATCATAGTTAGTCTGTACCCACAATCTCTGCACTGGACTTAATACTAATGTCAAGAATCATGGTTTGTTTCCCCCACATATTATCAGAGAAGAGCAAAATAGGTGAGTTAAGCACATTCATGTTAAATCATTACTTATGTTACTGTGTGATGTGTGAATGAGCCCAGTATGCATTGCTCTTAAAAAAATGTGATCCCAAGTCTCTATATTAACAACCTGGAGCTATCACTTTTTATTGAAACTAAGCTACAAGCTTTTTCCTTCTACCAGTACAAAAAAAGCACTGCTTTATATTGTGAGGGGTTTTTTGGGGGGGGGTATGCCTAGTCCCCCTTCTAATTCCTGGTAAGACAGACTAGCTTCCTGATAAGGTGATAGCCTAGGTAATGTGCTGTGAAGAGACAAAGGCACCAGAGGGCAAATGGGTGGGCCCCTTCCCTGAACTGCCTGGGAGTTAGAAAGACAAAGGGCAGCATTGAGAGTTGAGTGATATGAGCTAGAACATGGGTAGGCAAACTAAGGCCCAGGGGCCAGATCCAGCCCAATCGCCTTCTAGATCTGGCCCGCAAACAGTCTGGGAATCAGCATGTTTTTACATGAGTAGAATGTGCCCTTTTATTTAAAATGCATCTCTGGGTTATTTGTGGGGCCTGCCTGGTGTTTTTACATGAGCAGAATGTGTGCTTTTATTTAAAAAGCATCTCTGGGTTATTTGTGGGGCATAGGAATTCATTCATTTCCCCCCCCAAAAAATATAGTCTGGCCCCCTACAAGGTCTGAGGGACAGTGGACTGGCCCCCCTGCTGAAAAAGTTTGCTGGCCCCTGAGCTAGAAGCTGGGAAGCCAGACAGAGCAATGTTCAATTTCTGTTTGAGTTCAAGGCTATCACTACGGAGGAAGTAAGACCCTCTTGGGGTGTTAATGCTGTGATCCCTCCATTGCAGGCTCAGGTTGTATAGATGTGTAAATAAACCATACATCATAATAGAACCATACATCATAATGGAACCACAGTCTCTTCTGTACCTCATTCCAAAGCAAACATGAACCCTGGGTAAGATTACTAGGGTTACTAGTAATCTCGCACTGCTCTGAGATTGGGGTGGCATGCAACAATATATATATTGCATATATATACGTATATAAATGCAACAACAAAAAGCTTTACCTCTCTCCATTCCTTATTTCCCATACCCTGGGTATACAAAACGCAGACTGTGGGGACAAAAAAGAAGAATTTGATCAATTTCATATGTTCTGTTTAACTTTTCCATTACAACTAATACTCAAAGCTATAATGCTACAGATATTAGGCAAACGTTAAAATATTACATAAGACATCCAAGTCCATTTAGGAGTTATAAGCCATCTGAGATCGTGCTTCATGTTTAATGAAACTTCACAATAAGATCCAGCATTCAAACACTGTCTTACTTGAATACTATGTCATACAGTCTAGCTGTTATTCCTGACCATATACATCAGATCTAACAAACCATAAGTAGAAGAAACCTGTTTCAAGTTTAACAGCTACAGAATATTTTAGCCCTATCAGCTGAAGTTACAAAACTTTTTTTTTTTAAGACACTTCTTTCACCAATATCCTTCTAACTGGGAAACCATTTAAGAACAATGGAGGAAATATCTCCTTGTCTTCCAGACATTTAATATTCTGCTATTAAAGGTTGGCTCTTATAGTTTATTTACCATGCCCAAGAAAAGTGCATATGCACGTCTACTAGCAATGAAGAGAACAAGGCTTTCTTCAAAGTTCATTATTTTCCTTGATTTTCCAAACAGAAACTATTTTAAACTCCTCATTTAGCAAATATTCAGTTTTTATTTATGCATCCATCACTCAAAAGAATTGTTCAATGTTAGTGGTAAAGGAAAATCCATATCAGAAGGATGCAAGGTTGGCTTCATTGCAGCCCTGGCTTTATAGTACCAGGAAACTGATTTACTTACACAAGAACCAGTAGCAAAAATTATCATTAAGGATTACTGGCTAATTAACCTTTCATCCAGTCCCTTGCATAATTCATCTTAATCTAAAAGAAAACATTGTGAGAGGTGAATAGAAAATTGAAAATTTCATTAACAAATAAATGTTATACTTACTTGGATCAGATTTTGAAAATGTGTCTCGGTCCAAAAGGTTCCTATTCATGAAAGAAAAGATCATGTTACCGTTCTGTTTTTAAAAATCACTACTAAAGATCTTAAACAGAAAGAGTCATATTGGAAGAGATTATTAAAGAAAGTGATCTCCGCCTTCATTGCCTTGTATATTGGGGCCCACAAACGAGAGTGCTTCATCAGTCCAACTAGCTTCTGTACTGGCTGAGCAACTGCTAGTTGCCCTGAACTATAGATTATCTTTTACTGTTCTTCATGTTCACACACTGCCTTCAACCTCAGCAATACAATACAGTGGTACCTTGGTTTAAGAACAGCTTAGTTCAGGCATCCCCAAACTCGGCCCTCCAGCTGTTTTGGGACTACAATTCCCATCATCCCTAGCTAACAGGACCAGTGGTCAGGGAGGATAGGAACTGTAGTCCCAAAACAGCTGGAGGGCCGAGTTTTGGGGATGCCTGGCTTAGCTTACGAACAACTTGGATGAAGAACGCTGCAAACCCGGAAGTAGGTGTTTTGGTTTGTGAACTTTGCCTTGGAAGCAGAACATGTTCCGCTTCCTGTTGAGTGTGTTCCATTTGTAAATTGAGTCCCCCGCTGCTATGGGAAAGCACACCTTGGTTTAAGAACGCTTTGGTTTAAGAACGGACTTCTGGAACGGATTAAGTTATAAACCAAGGTACCACTGCATAGCACAAACCATAGCTTGCAGCTGCATTCAAACTAGCAAACTGTAAGAACATAAGAAAAGCCCTGCTGGAGCAGACCATCTAGTGCAGCTTCCTGGTCTCACAGTGGCCAACCAGATGTCTATGAAAAAGCACACAAGCAGAAACTGAGTACAACACCTGCCTCTGACAGTGGAGGCACATCAGTCATCATCGCTAGTACCACTGACAGCTGTAGCATCTTCCATCAATAAATATGATCCAATTTTGGGGTGGTTTTAAAACTTAAGAGTCTCCCTGTCAGAACACTTGAGAGGTCTGTTATTATCAGCATGGGTCATCACTTCTTAATAGTAGCCAGCAGCAAGGTGTGGCAAGGAGAAACCATGTTAACGTTTATCCGTTACCCAGAGGATCAAAGTAAGAATGAGGCACATTTGGGGGGAAAGCTAGAACACTTCCCCTCAATGAAAGGTATAGCTTAATAGTTACTCTAATAAGGTACCAACATTGTTTTAGACACTCTTTACAGAGATAGTGAAGAACTTCCTTAAAATTCTTACCTTAAACCTGTCCCTGAATCAGAGGCAGAGCATTTCCTGCCTGCGCCCGGGGCAGGCAACATCAGCAGCACACCCGCATCAGGGCACACCGTGGGGGCCGGGAGCTTTTTATTCCTAGAATAAGAGCAATTTCTATTCTAGGAGGAATGAGTCTATTCAGAGCAGTGGTGTAGCGTGGTAGTGGGGCCGTGGGCGGGGCACAGCGCCATAGTGACCTCTGCCCACTGCAACAGTTGGGGGGGCCACGCCTTGCACCATCCTGAGCTGTTGCGTCCTTCTCATCGCCCTCCAGCTTGGGGGGTGGCTGAGAAGGATGCAACAGGCATGGGCCCTGGCCCCTGCGAGCCCAGCACTGCTTTTGCGAGCTGCGCTGCTTGCAGGGAGGGTGTCGTGAGCTGTGGTGTCCTCCTCATGGTGTCCTCCAGCTGGGGGGTGACAGAAGGACACAACAGGCAGGCACCCCGGGTCCTGCGAGCATGCCTGTTGCATCCTTCTCAGCCGCTTCCCAGCTGGAGGGCGTCGTGGGAAGGATGCAACAGCTCACGGTGCCCTCCCTGCAAGCAGCGCAGCTCGCAAAAGCAGTGCTGGGCTCGCAAGGGCCAGGCCCATGCCTGTTGCATCCTTCTCAGCCACCCCCCAAGCTGGAGGGCGATGAGAAGGACACAACAGCCCAGGACAGGGCAGGGCGTGGCCCCCCAACTGCTGCAGTGGGCAGAGATCACTATGGCGCTGTGCCCCGCCCACGGCCCCACTACCACGCTACACCACTGCTCTAAATACTCATTCCTCCTAGAAAGGAATGGAAATTACTCTTATTCTAGGAGAAAAAAAACTCTCAGCCCCTTCTAGGATCTTCACAAGAAAGGGCAGGAGCCCAGATTGGGATTCTGACAGACAAGCCCCATCTGGGTTCCTGCCCTATCTAGGCTCCTGCCCCATCTGGGCTCCTGGAGACAGTTATGACCTGTCTAACAGTTCTAACTGCCTACTTTCCTGATTGGCTGAAACTCCACTCAGGAGGCGGAGCCAGGGTCTGTCCTTCACAATAGCCCTTTGTCTAATCCTCTTTTAAAGATATCCAAGTGGGTGTCTATCACGTCATCTTGTGGGAATAAATTTCTTAGTATCACTATGCTCTGTGTGAATAAGGACTTCACCTGCCCTGAATGTTCTAGCTTTCAATTTCATTGGACTGCCCCAAGTTCTAGTTTTATGAAAGAGAAACTTCACTCTGTCCACTTAATCCACACTATTTTATATACTTCTAACATGTCCCCCTCTGGGCGCGGGTGGCGCTGTGGTCTTAAACACTGAGCCTAGGTCTTGTCGATCTAAAGGTCGGTGGTTCGAATCCCCGTGAAGGGGTGAGCTCCCGTTGCTCGGTCCCAGCTCCTGCCAACCTAGCAGTTCAAAACTACATCAAAGTGAAAGTAGATAAATAGGTACCGCTCTGGCGGGAAAAGAAACTGCGTTTCCATGCGCTGCTCTGGTTTCGCCAGAAGCGGCTTAGTTATGCTGGCCATAAGACCCAGAAAAACTGTGGACAAACATCGGCTCCCTCAGCCAGTTAAGCGAGATGAGTGCCGCAACCCCAGAGTCGTCCGCGACTGGACTTAACTGTCAGGGGTCCTTTACCTTTTAACATGTCCCCACTTACCTGCCTTTTCCCTAAACTAAAATGCCTCAAATGTTGAGACCTCTCCTCACAGCAGCAATGCTCCAAACCCTTTGAGCATTGGTTGCCCTTTTGCAACCAAAGGTTAAGCAAACAGAACTATACGCAGTATTCACACCATAGTTGGTGTAGTAGTCACACCATAGTTGTTTAGCAGCATTATGATATTGGCAGTTCTATTCTCAATCCCCTCCCTAGTGATCCCTAGCATGTAAGTAATTTGCTTTTTTCACAGCTCCCTCATACTAGGATCAACATATTCATTAAACTATCCACTATGATCCCAAGGTTTCGTTCCCAGTCAGCCACTGCCAGTTCAGACCCTATGAATGTATATGTGAAATTGGGAGAGGTGTCCCAATGTGCATCAATCACTTCATACTTCCTTACATAGAATTACATTTGCCATTTTAATGGCCCTCCTCTCAGGTTGGAGAAATCCTTTTGGAACTCCTCCCAATCCCTTTTTGTTTTAACCACCCTGAATAATTTGGCACTATCAGCAAACCTGCGTACCTCACTTCTCACTGCCAACTCTAGATTGTTTATGAACAAGATAAAAAGCACGGGTCTCAATACCAATACAGTCATACCTTGTGTTGTGTCTGCTTCATGTTGCGTCTTTTCGGGTTATGAACGTGGCAAACCCGGAAGTGTTTACTTCCGGGTTCGCCACGCACGCATGTGCAGAAACGATCTGCGCGCTTCGCAGAGAAGTGCTCTATTGTGCCACGCGTGTGTGCAGAAGCGGCGTTCTAGTTGCAGACTTTTCGGGATGCAAACGGCACCCCGGAACAGATTGAGTCTGCAACTAGAGGTACCACTGTACTTGGGAGACTCCATTTTCCATATCCCTCAGCTGGAATAACTGAATATTTTTTTCTTCCTCCCTGCTTCTTGTTTCTTAGCCAGTTCCATGAGTGTCCCTCCTCTTATCCCATGACTGACAAGCTCACTCAAGAGTCTGGTGAGGGACTTTATCAAACATTTTCTGGTATTCAGAGTACACATTGTCAACTGGATCACCATCTATATGCTGTACTAATTGGCACTCTCAAAGAATGCTAAGAGGTTAGTAAGAAAGAACTAAGGGCTTATCCAAAATTATCTTTTCTCTGCTCTTTCCAGACATGGTATGCAATTTAAAGCTCCGTGTCTATTATTATTTTTATTATTATTTTTTTATTATTATTATTTTTTGCTCTGGAGCTTTCCCTGCAAAAACCTGCTCTTTAAAGTTCAATTGGAGCAAACATCAATCTGTGGAAAACCGAAATTAACGTTTACTATTATTCAACTTTAAAGGGCTGGTTTTTATGGGGAAAGCTCAGCACAAAAACCAAAAACAAAATGGCTCAGACATGGAGCATTAAAGCATAGACCTCTGCCTGGAAAGAGCAGGGCAAAACGCAAGTGTGGATAAGCCCTTTCTTTTGCAGAAGCAATTCTGATTCTGCTCAGCAAAATGCTTTGTAATATTATCTTTAACAATGTTTTCCACCAGTTTTTCTAGAACTAAGAAATCTGTCATTTCTTAGATCCTCCTCACCCCCAGATCCTTTTTAAAAAAGTGGCATTACACAGGTCACCTTCCAGTCCTCAGTACAGAGGCTAATCTTAGAGGCAAGTTACATATTTTTGATATAAGATCAGAAATGTCACATCTGAGTTCTTGAGTTGATGCCATCAGGACCAGGTTATTTGTCAGTTTTTACTTTGTGAATGAGACCCGGAAACACACAGCTTCTCTGCAAATCTTATTTTCCTCCTTTAGCATACCTTTGACTCAGTTGCCATTCAAACATCCAGCCACCTCCCTAGCGGGTCTCCCAATTATTATTATTTCTTAAAGTTGGTGGTGTCCTCATGCTTTTAGCAATATGTTCCTCAAATTCTTTTTTAGCATACCTTATTGTTTGTTTAATGGGACGCGGGTGGCGCTGTGGGTAAACCTCAGTGCCTAGGACTTGCCGATCGTATGGTCAGCGGTTCGAATCCCCGCGGCGGGGTGAGCTCCCGTCTTTCGGTCCCAGCTCCTGCCCACCTAGCAGTTCGAAAGCACCCCAAGTGCAAGTAGATAAATAGGTACTGCTTTATAGTGGGAAGGTAAACGGCGTTTCCGTGTGCTGCGCTGGTCCTGGCTCGCCAGAGCAGCTTCGTCACGCTGGCCACGTGACCCGGAAGTGTCTTCGGACAGCGCTGGCTCCCGGCCTCTTAAGTGAGATGAGCGCACAACCCTAGAGTCGGACACGACTGGCCCGTACGGGCAGGGGTACCTTTACCTATTGCTTGTTTGTATTTCTTTTATCAAAGTCTGTGTTCTGTTTCTCTCATTTGGACAAGACTTACATTTTTCTTGGTCTTGGTGGTTCCTTTCCTGATCTGTTGTATACAGTCTAGCTGAGCTTCTAATATTGTGATTTTAAACAACCCCAAATATTTTGGAGAGATTAGACCCTCTTGACTTTGGCTTTCAACTTCCACAGCCTCATTTTTAGGAAGTTTCCTCTTCTGTGTGCGAGATTTTAGCAAACGAACCTAACAATACATATTTCCTAGTTAGTATGTGAATGAGTTAAGGACCACTGAGTTCTTACTGCTAGAATAGGCTCAGTAGAGTCATGCCTCCTCTTCTCTTGAGAGGAAGGAAGTGAAGCCTGTTTCCAGTGTCCCCCACCCCTTTCACTGCAAGCCATGGAGACAGACGAGCCTGGTACCTTCCAGGCCATGGGTAGGCAAACTAAGGCCGGGGGCCGGATCACCTTCTAAATCCGGCCTGCGGAAGGTACGGGAATCAGCGTGTTTTTACATGAGTAGAATGTGTGCTTTTATTTAAAATGCATCTATGGATTACTTGTGGGGCATAGGAATTCGTTCATCCCCCCCCCAAAAAAAAGTCCGGCCCCCCACAAGGTCTGAGGGATAATGGACCGGCCCCCTGCTGAAAAAGTTTGCTGACCCCTGTTCCAGGCTCTGAAGCTATAATTGCTGTATTTCTACTAAGAGTGTTTTACATGCATTATTTTATTGCTGCTGTGTAAGGAAAATGCATGTCTGAGACTAAGAAACTGTAAGTAAAGCATTTCAAACTTACTTTGCAGTCTGTAGTGTATTTATTGAAAAGGGGGTTAAAGGGGGTCAGCTGCCTTATGCAGCTGAACAAACAGAATAAATAAGGTTTAATAGCCTATTCCTGTGCTTCATTAATCTGCCTAATGATGGGACTTAATATTCTGCTACTGGGGCTCTCTGTGTGCTAGCCTCGCATTTTAAAAACAGACACCAGCTATTTTACTTTTGTTGTCGGTCTCTAGAGGATCAACTATAATTAATATATTCCATCAGGCTTATGTTATGCCCATCATATCTATGTTGTCCTCTCAGACAAAGCACTCCAGTTCATTTATCTTGACTCAGCAGCTTCTAGCATTAGCAAATAAACACTTATATATACTGTAGTATCTTTCACCAAGTGTCCTTGGTACTTGAACTTTAGCCTATAGCGCTCTAGCCTCTCTAAATCTGTAGCATATGTCAATGCTAAATTCTACCTCTTCCCAATTTGAATACTCATTATTTTTTTCACCTTCATCCCATGGGGAAGATATAATCGAAACCAGACCCTCCTCGGCTCTTGTCAGCTTCCCTTCCCCCTGCAATCAGTTTCTTTATTTAATTATATTCCTTACCCACCCTTCACCACAAGGTCTCAAGGCAGGAGGATGACAACAATAAAAGTTTTATGGTAGACAATATCTTGCTGAGTAAAGAAATAAAGTGGGTAGATAAAGTCTTCAAGCAATGTATGACATACAAGGGAAGACCATAGCTGTCAACTTACAGATTTGAAAATAAGGGACCAGCAGCCTTGAAAATAAGGGACCGGCAGCCAAAATAAGGGACCTGCAGCCTCACCTGTTCCAGGGACTCCAGTCTTCCTGTCCTTCTGCAATCTGGTCAAACTCATGCTGGTAGCTTCGAGAACACTGTCCAACAAACTTTGTAACCAGAGGTTCAACTGAATAGAATCTGAATCACATGCACCACAAGGCCTATGCAGCCTCAACTTAAGATGGCTCCCGGCCTGGCTTTGCACTGCAAAGTTTGCAGCAGCACGTGCAACAAAATGGCGTCCAGCATTCAAAACCCCCTCAGCTTGCATTAACTAGCCACACACAAGGCATGCAAGCTCCACCCCCCAGTCATTCTTAGACTTCTTATTGGGTGAGCAACACAGCCAAGCAACACAGTTGGAGCCTCCATCCTCCCTGGCTGGCAGGGAGGGAGGGAGGGAGAGGAGCTGCTTCCTTTGAAATTTAAGGGACATCATTTAAGGGACATTTAAGGGACATCCATCAATAAGGGACAGCAGCGGGACATGGCGCTGGAATAAGGGACTGTCCCTTCAAATAAGGGACACTTGACAGCTATGGGGAAGACAGAGGCACTAGGGCAGTGAACTTTGGTGTGAGAACAAGGGTATTATCATAATGGCTCACTTGAAAAGGACAACCTTTCTATAACAAAATGTTGGAAAGTATAAGGTATAAAAGTATAAAGAAAGTACAATTTCTCCTAATTTAAGCTTTCATTCAATGTAGTTCCAAACTAGGTTTCTACCTATGATGCAATCAAACCTATGAGAAGTTCCGCATGTTCTGATTGGTGGGTACAAGTTTTGAATTTGGCTGGGTTTGGACTAGAGTGGCTAGAATAAGTGTATATATGGCTAGGAGCTGGCTATATGGTTGAAGGGTCCACGACTGGAGATTGTGATGGACAGCCAGGAGAAGGCAACAGAAGTGGAAGAGGATCAAGGAGGAAGGAAGAAGACATGAAAGGAAAGCAGAGTGGCTTGGTGGCCAGAGGATTGCTGGGATAGCTGAATTACTTTTATATACAACAACTGTATACAACAACTTTTATAAGTTGCTGTATACAGAGGGTGGAATAAACACACACACACACACACACACACACACACTTAACATCCATGTTCATTTCTAAGGGCAATATATATATGAATGAAGCTGATAAAATACTGACCAATTGCAGAAAAATGTTTATTTTATTTGGATGCTTAAATGGGAAGTCCTTTTACTACAGGTAAAATATGTTCAGACTAACTTGTTATGGACAGTTATCTAGATGCCATGTTCTGATGCAGCTGAAGTTTTCAAACAGTTTTGAGCCTAATGCACTGCAGATCATTTACCCTGGATCTTACAAGAACATAGATCATGGTAATAAACTTGTAGCTGGCACACAAGAGCTTTCTCCCCCAGAAGAAATGTGAACATTCAGCGTTAACAGCCAAACTTAACAGTACTTCTGAACTACAAACCTGCTCTTTAAGAGGAAGTGCCAACCTCATCTAGAAAAGGCTGTGTACCACTTCCTCAGACCCCTGAATTCCTAATTATTAGTGGATCTGTCTTGTCTGGATTGAGTGGTGTCTTCATTCACATCCCGCTTTTCACAGAATATAGAGGTCTGTCCAGTTTTTCTATCACTCCTATCAGTTCAAATGCAAGGAAGGCCGATTCAAACTACGGTTTGAGAACCAACCAGATCATAAACCAGAGTTTGATCCTGGCTTGTTTAAAACTAACCAAAGTTCCCCAAATTTGGATCTTAATCAGGAACTCTAGTTAGCTTAAACATGGAAACATCCAATCTCTTCCACATAGTTGTGTCAGAGGGGGGAAGAAGGGATGGTGTGAGCCCGGTTCCTGCTGAGACTCATTCATGCAATGATAAACTACAGTTTAGCATTAAGTCCCCAAAATCTCAACTAGTGATAAAAGACACCATTAAAAATTGTATGATATTAATAATGTTTTCTGTAGCTATGGTTTTTTCGACTGGACTGTAGTCAAACAGCTGAACTTTGAAAAAGACACACTATGATCACTGTTTATAGCCATAAAGTAAAGTTAATATTACAAATTCTTTAAAGTGTTTTGCTTGTTATGGTGATTGCATTGTATTCAATATGGCACTAAAGAAATTGTCCTGTAAGTATAAGCATTTCTGCTGGTCTGATAGAATAATCTCCCCTCTCACCCCTTGCAAAAAGGTACTGTCCCAACCCTCTGGGATAGATCTGGGGAGGGCATAGGGGAATGGGGGGCAGGGGAGAGAATAATGGGGAAGTTCCATTGCACTAGCAGGAATTGTGCTAGTTTCTGTTAACATAACTATTTAGTTGAATACAGCACAATACTACTTTGATGCCAGGTTACAAAACTAAACAGAGGTAGCAGTCATGAAAGTAACTGCATAAAAGTTGCTACCAACTTTGTTATTCAACATATTTATGTTAGACATTTGTAACCTAAGAGAAACACCCACACCATTTTTTCTAAAGCTTCCTTGACTGCTTGCTTGGAGCAACTTACCAGAGGCAACCTGAGAGGTGTCTATTTATACATCTCTCCTCACACTGCTGATTTATCCAGAATCACTCCGTTTTCTACATGCAAACCTAGGCACAGGGGAACTGGCTCAGAACAAACTAATGATACAGGAGTACTAGAATGAGGAAAAGAACAGGTGTAAAAGGAAGTTAACTTGCAATGTAAAAATGGCTTTAGGGTCATACCCAACAAACCAAAACGGTTGCCAAATCTACATTACTGTAGACAATAGGTATGTAAAGCTGTTTCGTTTCTGTGATTCAACATGGTGGTGGATAAATCTTTTTTATATATACATCATAAGCAGGAAGCTAACCAAGGAAGTTGCCTTAGGGGTGGGCCAGCCCAGCTTTGGGGCATTGCCAAATAACCACATGTGGCTAAATGAGCCAGTTACATTACAATTATTATTATTTTAACAGCAAGCAGTTCCTTCACTCATGGAGGGGCTTTTTAGAATGTGTGAGCATGTAGGGGTGCTCAAGTATACTCTGTGTTTTGATGGAAATGCAGTTAGGCATGTGTGACTGTATATATGTGAAGTGTGTGTTCACATATATGTGTAGGGAGAGGGAGAGGGAGAGGGAGAGGGAGAGGGAGAGGGAGAGAGAGAGAGAGAGAGAGAGATGTATGTGTGTCTGGTTTGTACAAGTGCAATGAATGTGTATTTGAATGAGAGAAAGTGTGGCCATCCTGTATATTTTTTCCTGGTACTGGGAAATGTTCCGTTATTACAGCAAAAGTAATGGGCAGGGATCAAAATAGTGAAATTTCCACAATCAGGATCAGCAGGACATAGGTGACCTCCCATAACAAGTATAAGGATATCCAGTAAGGGAGAGGAGCAATGACTGTATTTCTTCGGACCCTGTGTTATGCCACATGACCATGGTAGCCATTTTGTGGCTGGCGCCCACAGCACTTTCTCAAAATTCAAAATGCGCCTTCTGATTTAAAAAACTTGGCAACCCTTAGAGTAGACAATATTGGACTAGATGGACCAGTATGTTGACAGTATAAAATCAGTGTGGTGAGATGCACTTTTGGTCTAAACCAGAAAACCTCTTCTAATATTTAGGAGTCTTACCGTCACTAAATTGTGGAAGACCAGGTCAAACATGAAATATTTTTCTAGAATATTCACATACGTTCTTGAAAGAACTGCCTATAAAAAGGGTATGTGCTGTATATGGGAAGATTTATAAGACCCAGGTTTAAATCTCAACCAGACATTAAGGTCATTGGGTGATCCTAGCCTGTCACTCTCTCTCAGTCTAACCTACTTCATGGAATTGCTATGAAGATAAAATGTGTGGTGGGAAAAGAGGGGACATGTATTTAATACTTCTTTCCAGGATGGGATACAAATATTCAGTGTGTGCAAATATTTTATATAGATATACTGTATAGACACACACACACACACAGAGAGAGAGAGAGAGAGAGAGAGAGAGAGAGAGAGAGAGAGAGAATTCTTCATGTACCTTGTAAAATGGTGTCAGGCTCACAAAAACTTATGCAACAATAAAATAAGTCAGTATTTAATGTGTCACTAGACTAAATTTCTTCTGCTTTGTGTAACTTAGCCTATCATACTGAAAAGTTATTTAGATATATTTTTATTTCCTTAGCTAAAAGCCAGCTGAATGTGAATATGTATCTCAACATGTGTTTACCAAAACCTCAAGTGCCATGCATTACACATTTGAACAAAACCTTAAGAATATTACCCACATAAAATACTGCAACTGATCCATTTTTGACATTTGAATGCATTTACCTTGAAATAGACAATTAATTCAAGTAGCCACTCAATCATTATGTTTCTGGAGTCAAATATAAGTATGTTGCTCTAAATACATGTTTCCAAGAATGGCCTAAAACTCAGAGCCTCATTTTATGTTTACTATGGATTTCTAGCTTTCTTGCTTTCGAAAAATAAACTTCAAACACATGGGGGCAGTCTGTTTACCATGAGAAATTTGCTTCATTGGCTCAAGTCAAAAAACATACCAAACTATGGTTAAGAAGGCTAATTTTGGTTTACTGCAATGTCTGAATTGGCAGCCATTTTTGTGACTGGCTAGCAAACCAGAACCATGGTTTTATTTTGCATTATCTATGGGTTATCATGGGGACACGGGTGGTGCTGTGGGTTAAACCACAGAGCCTAGGACTTGCCGATCAGAAGGTCGGCGGTTCGAATCCCCGCGACGGGGTGAGCTCCCGTTGCTTGGTCCTTGCTCCTGCCAACCTAGCAGTTCGAAAGCCTGTCAAAGTGCAAGTAGATAAATAGGTACCGCTCCAGCGGGAAGGTAAACGGCGTTTCCGTGCGCTGCTCTGGTTCGCCAGAAGCGGCTTAGTCATGCTGGCCACATGACCCGGAAGCTGTATGCCAGCTCCATCGGCCAATAAAGCGAGATGAGCGCCGCAACCCCAGAGTCATCCGCGACTGGACCTAACAGTCAGGGGTCCCTTTACCTTTATGGGTTATCATGCTGACTGAACTGACATACCAGAGAGCCACTGCTTTCTTTCCAGAGGCTGCTGCACCTAGAGATTTGAATGCTGATCATACAGAAAAAAGTATCAAACTACAGTTTCTTCTGTTTGGAAACCCAAATGTTTACAGTGGTACCTCAGGTTACATACGCTTCAGGTTACAGACACTTCAGGTTACAGACTCCACTAACCCAGAAATAGTACCTCGGGTTAAGAACTTTGCTTCAGGATGAGAACAGAAATTGTGCTCCAGCGGCGCGGCAGCAGCAGAAGGCCCCAGCGGTACTTCAGGTTGAGAACAGTTTCAGGTTAAGAACGGACCTCCAGAACAAATTAAGTTCTTAATCCGAGGTACCACTGTATTTGGATTCTAAACTAAAGAAAATACAAGCCATGGTTTGGTATGATGTCTAATTATGTCTATGGTGCAACCAATTTAAGGGTTTCAAGGCATCCTAACAAGATTGAGCTTGATGCAGTGGAGCTTGTACATCTCCAATGATAATTAATTTTTATGTGAATCATAAATCACATAACATGTGCACACTTGCTATTATGGCAAATGTGCTATTAATACTGAACAGGTTCCCTCTTGCTGATATAGTACAACAGGCACCTGTCTTGAAAGAAATTAAAGGCCCATTTTTTATGCTTAATTCCCAAGCTGCTAAACCAGGAAATGTTGCTATCAGCAGAAAAAGAGCAATGGGACTGAACCTGGTTTAACAGGCGCTAGGGAAGGAGTTGTCGTCACGGCACTCCTTGGTGTGTGGAGTGCCACAGGGTGCAATCCTTCCCCCGATGCTATTTAATATCTTTATGTGCCCCCTTGCCTAGATTGTCCGGAGTTTTGGGCTGGATTGTCATCAATATGCTGATGACACCCAGCTTTTTCTGTTGATGGACGGCCGCCCTGACTCTGACCAGACACTTGGAAGCTGTGGCTGGATGGCTGCGTGGGAGCCGGTTGAAGTTAAACCCTTCAAAGACAGAGGTCCTCTGGCTGGGTTGGGACGACATGGGTTTGAGGGCCAACTCCCATCTCTGCGGGGGCTCAATTAGTGTCAGTGCCATCTGTCAAGAGTTTGGGTGTAACTTTTGACGCCTCCCTTTCTATGGAGGCGCAGGTTGCAGCCACAGCAAAGGTGGCACTTTTCCATCTCCGCCGTATTAAGCAGTTGGTCCCTTACCTTTCTTGCCCTGATCTGGCCCCAGTGATCCATGCAACAGTCACCTCCAGGCTTGATTATTGTAACTCGCTCTACGCGGGGCTGCCCTTGAAGCTGAACCAGAAACTCCAGCAGGTGCAAAATGCCACAGTGAGGCTCCTTACGGGGTCCTTGTCGTGGGATCACATTCATCCAGCCAGCTGCACCGGCTCCCGGTGGAGTATAGGGTTAGGTTTAAGGTGCTGGTTTTGTCCTTTAAAGTCCTATGCGGCCTAGGACCCTCATACCTACGGGACCGCCTCTCCTGGTATGCCCCGCGGAGGACCTTAAGGTCCATAAATAACACCACTTTGGGGGTCTCGAGCCTCAAGGAGGTTAGATTGGTCTCAACTAGGGCCACGGCCTTTTCAGCCCTGGCCCCGACTTGGAGGAACGCTTTGTCACAAGAGACCAGGGCCCTGCGGGATTTGACATCTTTCCGCAGGGCCTGCAAGATGGAGCTGTTCCACCTGGCCTTTGACTCACTCTGGCCCCTTATATGGGATTTGGTATATAAATTTTCCCTTGGCCCATGTAGGACCAGAATGGATAGCTGGCTCGGGTGAATATCTGATGTTTTTCCCTTTATGGTCTTGATTTATGGTCTGCTACTAAAACGAGGCTGCATTTTAAGCTGTATTTTAAGCCGTATTTTAATTAACTGCCAGTCCTACCATTGGCAAGTGACGACAGGTCCAAGCTCGACTGCTTCACTGTGTTGGCCTGGGAGCTGCCATTGCAAAGCTGCATTCTTCTTCATCGCACACCCCAAGCTGCTGCAAGCTGCAGAGCTGTGGGCATGGCAGCGACTATGCCAGTCAACTGACATTAAACCACAAGTAGACCAACTCCAAGAATGAAGTTCTACATTTTTATGGGAATCTGAGACCCGTGGTGGAGGGTGTGTTGCCAGTGCCCAGGGCAAGACAAGTATTGCACCCCGCAAACCATTAAGTGTGTAAAGTATGGGGGGGGCAAGAAAGAAGAAGTGGGGAGAGGAAAAGGTAGTGTAAGAGAGTCTCAATCCAGCAGAGGGGACAGGCTGGGGCAGTGGGTCAGTATTGGAGATGCTGGGTGAGCTGGCCAAGAGCACAATAGCAGTGGCTGAGGAGGTGCACGGCAAGGCAGTGTGCAGCACCAAGTACATGCCCTTGTGGAGGTCTCTGCCACTGCTGCGTGCCATGTTGAAGAGCTGCTTATTCTCCTACACCCTGAAATACCAGAGGCCACCCCTGCCGCCCTCCAGCCCCTGCCGCCCTCCTCACCCAGCCTCCCTCAGAGTAAAGCCCCAAGCAACTGTTGCTTAACTGGAGCAATAGCCCCAAAGCACTGCCTTTGCTGCTGGCTCCCCACCCCCCTTCCCTGTCTGCCCAACAGCAAAAGGCAAGAAGAGCACTCTGTTGTTGTTTCTTCAGTGGCTGGGACACTGCCTCAGAGCTAGGCTGCACCACACCTCAGCATAGCAGGTACCTAATGCGAGCGGGGCTTCCAAGTAACTGAGCTGAGTGAGACTACCTCTCTCAGTTTCTCTCTGCTTGTCACCCACTGGATGGAGGTGAAGCCAAGGCTGAGAAAGTGAGATGCCTGCATGCTGCGGGAGCGCGTGTGACCGAGTGAAAGGCTGGCTGAGCCGGCCCAAACTCGCCTCTTAGCCGGCCTAGGGTGGGGCATGTGCTCAGGCGTCCCTTTGACAGCCACGGGGAGGCACCACTGCTGCCCCAATCCCAAAGGCCCAGCTTGGGTGCAGCTTGCCTCCCCACATCTCTGGACTGTGGCAGCAGCTCAACCACCCGGCCTTGATGAGGGAGCCTGTTGTGGGAGCACCTGGTTGTGCCCTTCAGAATTTTGTGCCTGGAGCAATTGTCCTTCTGGGGCCCCTACAGTGTGAGACCCGTAAAAATCAGAATCTTCACAGATTGGTTTTTGGATCATTGGTAAAAGAAGCTGCATCTCTGCTATAAATGGCCAATGTAGCTAATCAGAAATTTACATAGAGGTTCTTATTATGGACTTTTATTATCAAAGAACTAGACAGTTCAGGCTACTTAAATGGATTCACTTTTCCCTGTTACTTGTTCCCTGTTACTTTCCATGTATACTTGGTAATAAATCTGAAATATCTGCTTATTCAAGGTTCACCACTGAGAGTGCTAAATCACTTTTAGACTACATCAGAATATAGCAGTTCATTCCAAACAAAGTATTGGGAGGTCTTCACTGATTTCCTCTGTCATGTCTGTTTCAGCAGTATTGTATTAAGGCCAACAAAACTGAAAGTCACAATAAAGTATCCACAGAAAGTGGCAGCAGATATAATAAAACTAAATACAGGCAGATAACTTATGAACTTAGATCAAAACAATCACTCTGGGATTTGGTACAGGTAAAAGGTACAGTAATGGTAAAGGACCGGTAACTCCTATCTTCTGAAGGATGGGCTGTTTGCTTGGTTTTTAATATTTGAGTCAAGTTCCCTACAAATCTTCCTAATCCTGGAAGCACCTATGCTTATTTATTAAAATACTGTAGTACCTCCTGTTTTCTCCTTATGCATGGACCAGTCTGTTAGAGGTATCAAACATGGTGGAAGCTGCCAAGAGTACAGGAGTTACCGTATACTACAGACACATACTCAAGATAACTGATCTATATTAAGTTCTCTTAATACTGTACTGTCAAATTTATGTATTTTAAGTGTTTCACAGTTGGCATGAGATGAGATACATTAACGTATACTGTGAAGTAAAAAAAATGTTGACGGAAGCAGGGAGTCTGATTCAGTGGCATAGACATTGCCAAGGAAAGGCAGTCCGGCACGGAAGAGTTTTCAAGACACATTTGCAGGGAGGCCTGCACTGTAGGGGCTATGTAAAGCAGAAAATACCTTGTACTTACAAGCAGGATGCCAATGGGTAAAAAATGTAGCTTTAAACCTAAAAAATCAGCTACAGGTGAAAACAGAATCCTAACCTTGAGTTGGTGATTGCAGCTGTGTATAGGAGGTGGCATTCATTCTGGGTTAATGTTGTATAAGACACAGATGAATTTCAATTTTCTTCCAGTGCCATGATTCTAAATCTAAACAAATTACATCTATAGAAGCAGGCTTGGTGGGGGAGTGATTTTTAAAGAATATCAAATTATGTTTTCGCGGAAATGCAACCATGAAAAAAAAGAGACTGTTGCCTTTCACCAAGAGTTCCATGACAACTCTCCTCCAAAGAACTAGTAAAAACCAGATCACACCATGTTTTGCCAACATTTGATACTGGTCTTTAACTATTTTTGGTGACATGACAAATATACTTCTGTATTACAAACCAACACACAAAGATCCTGGTTTATTTAATCATTAAACATTCAAAACTAAATGCTACGAAACCTAGAAAATACTCCTAAATAAGAAAGGACTACTCCGTTTCATCTGATTTTCTTGATGAAGGCCTTTGAAAATGTATAGAAGCTATAAATGAATTGTACTCCAGGCATAATCATTCAAGAAAAAAATCAAAGCCAAAAGAATTTTCCATGTTTCTGAACATGAATAATTTACATATTCTTCAATTAAAAGAGTTATATGAGAAATAAGTTACGAATCTTTGTTTGAGCTCCAAGATAGGAGACTCTGTAAAGATTCCTATTAAAATAAAAAAGAGGCAACCATAAAAGACAAAGGATGCTGACTTCATAATATGCACTACCAATTTCAATTTTCTCTCTCAATAGTATTTTGATTCAACTATTCTCTTGCCTGAAATGCCACAATGACTGTATTTTAAAGGGCTAACATTTCATTTTTGGCTACAGGAAAAAGGATATGGGTGGGTGTGGAGAAAGCTGTTTGAATGGCCTGCTCCTTAACAAGATTTCAAACCAATTACTTCAGGATAAATGTGATTAAGAAATCTGTCTCCAGAAGTAAGTAACAGGAGCATACAATACACTTCTCATGTTTGCACTGAGATAATCCAGTAAACATTTCCCTGCAATTTACTTCTTACTGTAACAGATAGCATTCAGTCTTCTTGTACCCTGATTTACAAATTCTCAACTGACCCATTACCAAAGCAAGAGCAGGAAGCTCTTTAGCAAGCTCACAAATTATGCAAAAGGGCACTGCAAATAAATCACATGGGGCTAGTGCATGAAGAAAAGCAAACACTAATTCCACCATCTTCCTCAATTCACTCCAGCACAAGGAAAAATACTGTCCCTCTTTTTTAATCTCATTCAAACTGGGAAGGGGGGTTGTCTGCAGAGGCAGATATGTTTCAGATCCTTATCCAATTCATTTTATTCAGAAAGGAAAAGGGATTTTCCACATTGATCCACTACAAAGAGATGGGAATTGTCATCCCATCCGATCCCAGGAGATCACCAATGGAAATTATGCATTTCACGCACCTCTAGGAAATACTGTGGTGAAGAGGTACAGAGCTGTCTCCTAATGTGATCTTGTCTTACACCCAAGGAAGAGCAAGCCTGGTGAAATAAAATTGTGGGGGAAGACAGGCAGAACAGTTTCTTGCCCGAGTTACACAGAGAACACCACCAACAGAAAAATTTCTGGTCTAGAACGCAAAGGAATTACACACCCACTGCAAGTCTAACACCTACATCATCAACAGGAGAGGATATATGGCACCAAGGCAAGTGCCACCTCAGGTAGAACAAGAAGTTACAGCTTAGCCTTACCACATCCAGCGAAGGGAAATATTATGCTGGCGTATTCTTTTTCCTTTGCCACATAATTGCACAGAGGAAAGACAGGACACAACTTTTCATCACAGTGCATGTCGCACTAAGAAAATATAACCGTTTTCTGGAAGGGGAAGGTGCCACAGGTAGATCAAGATGTGATAGCCTTCTACTCCCAGAGCAAGCAAGAATCACAGAATTGCAAAGTGCTCCGAGGGTCATCTAGTCCAACCCTCTCCAAGAGGGATGTTGTCCTTAATTACTGTCGCGATCCATGTTTATTTTAAGCGGACTCTTTTCGTCGTGGTCCCTTTCCAGGGCCCCGGGCACAACGCAGAGACGCTATTCATCGCAGGCACCCACGCTTCCCCCCATATTGCACGGAGGAGACACCTTTTCAGACAAACCAGACCCTCAGGATCCCACGGAGGCCGGGGTTGCTCGTGGGGCAGCGCGATTTCCAAACACGGGAGGGGGGGTAGCAGGAGAGAAACGTGTCCGCGCTCCTTCCCTACGTGCCATGGGGGAATTCCACATCCAGTGGGGCACCACGGCAGGGAGGGATCTCGCCTCCCCCACCGACACGCCTTTCGCTCCCACACACTCGCACTTCTCGCCAAGGGGGGGGGGGGAGGGGGTCAACAACCCGAGACTAAACCATGGTTCCCCGTTCACACGTTCGTCCGCCCACGCCTCAAACAGCAGCGTTTTCCCTCACGCGCTCCGACCCTTCCACTTCCCTGTCCGCCCACCGAGGAATATCCACAGAGACACCGCCTCCCCCCTCAAAAAAAAAATCTTTGTTTATCTCCCCTCACCTGCAGGACACCGACACCTCCACTCGGGTAGCCGGGACGCTAGCGCTGAGCGGGTTAAAATCCCCCACGGACGCCATGTTCCCGTATCTGTCCAGCTTGGACAGCTGCCCCAAGAGTTTGTCCGGACCGAACATGGGGCAACAGAAAAGAAGACGAAGAAAGGCGGGGAAGGAGGTGGCGCTAACGGAATTTCCCGGGCAGGGCGAGGCGAGGCAGGGCGGAGAAGCCGGAGAGAGAGAAGGAGGGAGGGGACCGGAGGGGCCGAGCGAAGCGGCTCTGAGGGAGCGGGCGGGAGACGAGGAACGCCGACTGCCGACTGGCGGGAAGCGAGCGGGAAGAGCGCGCGCGCGCGCTGGGGGGAGAGAGAGAGAGAGAGAGAGAGAGAGAGAGAGAGAGAGAGAGAGTGTGTGTGTGTGTGTGTGTGTGTGTGTGTGTGTGTGTGTGTTTGTGTGTGTGACGTCACTCTCGGGGGGGGTTGTCGCGCGTGACACCCCCAGCCCCCCCCTCACCTCGCGACGGTGACCGTTGGAACCGGGAGTTCCTCCTAACGGTCCCCGAGGGCGGCGCGAGGCTTGTTTTCCTCAGGCGAGGAGGAGGAGGAGGAGAAGCCGCCGCCGCCGCCGCCACTTCCCCGTAAAGTTCCACATTGTGTTTTCCGGTGCCTGGCACGAGCAAAGGCAGGCGAAAGGGCGCCCTAAAAACATCCGCGCCGAAGAAAGGAAGAGAAGCGCGGGGTTGTTTGTTCTCTTCCGCGCCTGACAGAAATTTCGCCTCAGCGAAATAACGACGGCAGTCTTTATTTCGCCTGCCCGCCGGCTCTCCTCCGTGTCGTAGTAGCTAGGCTTGCAGTCCTGCGCTTACGCGCGCACCACGCTTCGCTCCTCAGTCTGTCCCCGCGAGCTGCGCTCACACGTGCGTGTTGACTGGGCTGTGGAGCGCTTTAGGCGGAGATCTAGAGACGCCCTACTTTGGTTTCCCCTCAGAGGAAGGCTTGGCGGTAGAGAAGAGGAACCCTAAGCCCGAGCGAAAACGGAGGCAGGGTTTGATTCGAACCCAGAACCTGCCTTACCATTTGTGCGTGGGGATGGGGTGGTGGTTTTTTTTGGTAGGATGAATAAATGCATTTAACGTTGGGTAAGAAGAGAGGAGTTGGAGGTCTAAAGTTCGCGACGAGGGTGACACCTTAAAACTGGCCCAGGGGGCTTTTGGCAAGCCGGCGCCACGGTCATTTCTCCCCGGGAGTTTCAGCGCGCGTCTGTAGATGCCTTCCGCGTGCAGACACGCGTCGTACACGCATCTGCGAGAGCCCACCGCCACGCACGTGTGCCGTGTCCCCCCACCCGCAGTAGCAGCTGCTGCGCTGCCCACGAAAGTCAGGGAGCAGCGCTATACTCCCCAGTCCCACTGAACCTCAGGGCGCTTACTTCCGAGTAAACACGCGTAGGATTGCATTGCGCGGGACTGGCTTGTGTTTGGCCCGGATACGCCGGAACCCAACAGCTTGGCAGGAAATGCCCTTTGGAATAAATGCACCCCCCCCCATTACGAAGAGGGTTGCGAAATTGTTGCACGTGTCAATGGAATCGCAGCGGAAATTCCGACAGATCGCGGGAGTTTTTGTGCAATTCCCCCCCTTTATGAAGGGGAGTTGGCATCAGCGCAGTAAAAGATTGCACAACAGAACAGTAACATGGGCTAGCCCGAGAAAAAAAAGCAGGCTCTCCTCCCCCCCTCCTAATGCGTGAGTCATCTCACGTTAATTTAGAAAAAGTATAGAAATAGCACGTTAAAGAGCAAATGCATTCTCAGGAAGTTGTTGGCATCGTTGTTTCCAGAGTAGCTTCCAAATGAGACGGGGGCGGAGAGGGGCATCGCGTGTGTGCGAAATACAGCAAAACCGGATTCAAGTCATCATTGATGGTAAAGCAATGGCTTTTCTCTGCCTTTTAGCAAAGAGAACACGTGGACGTCTGAAACAGTGTGACGCAATAACCCCAGAGAGTTCAGCGAGGCCCAGGGGACGAGTGTAGAAACGACGGCGCGGGGGTGGCTTGCACAACAGAGAGCGGCAGGATCGACAGTGGGAATTCCTCTGCTGCTTGCCAAAGACAAAATGTGCTGCAACGGTTTCCCGAAAGCGCTGGGATAGGAAAGGAAGGAGGCCGTCCGTTTTCGTCACACACCGCATCTATTCAGGAGACGCGCCTCAAATGTAAACAGGAGCCGTCAGAACAGAACACAGGCCCATTCAGCAGACGGGTGGGGCAAGCACGGCAGGAATGGTTTCCACGTTTTGAAGTAAGTGAAGTAATGTGCTTTTAAGTCCAGAGTCTTAACATGCCCTAACCACACCACTGAATTTTGAAATGCCACGCAGTTGCTCCTGTTTTTTCTGAACAATATTTATGGTGCTGGTGTCCAGAAAAGCACCTCCATTCCCAAGCCCGATAGTTACCAACTTCAGAGCCTGCTGGAATTAATAAGACCATTTTCACAAGTAATATGGTTTCCCTACATGTCTATTCAGAAGCCTGTCCCATTGACTTCAGTGGTAAGTGGGCACAGGAAAGTAGCCAAAATTGCTTGCTCCTGTTTTATTTATTGAGCTTTATAGCCTATTCAAGGTTTGAAGGGGTAACAGCCTACTACAGAAATCTGATAAATTATTTCTGTGCATCTGCATTTGGAAATAAGATGACACACACACAGAGTTTGCTTTGCTGAATGCGTTCATAGGATTACTGCCTCACTGTCACTATTAGATGAAGTATTTAATAATCATGCCAGTTAATCTTCCCATGGTCATTCTTAGGTAGCCAAAATGGAAGGGAGGGGGTTTAACCCTGAGGTATGCATAAGTACAAAAATAATCTGCAGCCCCATGATAACCAACCAACACAGAATATTGAGTGGTTGAGAGGTCAATTCCTGGTTCACATTGGGATGCTATTTTTCACTGACACCCCTCCCCCGAAGGCAATACTCAGAAAAATGAGTGGGGAAATCCTAAATGGTAACGTAGCTGGTATTAGGCACCAATGTGTTTATCCCTGTCACCAAGAAAACTAGAGAGGTGTTTAACTCTGCTCTAACAGAGTTATTAGTGTGAAACATTTGAAAAATAACCCTGGTAATGCAAATTCCTAAGGAAATGCAGTTCATTGTTCTCCAATTGCAGGTTAGAAGGGGTTGTAGTGGAGAGAAGTTAAGGTAGTCCTGCAGTGTTGTCCAAACACTTTAGGACGTGCAAGTTGGGCTAAAACAGTAGCTTGCACTTCTGCCAGGTTATCCATTGCTTTTATCCCCATATTAAAAGTTAGAGAATTGTATTAAACAATTCTGCTGTGTAGTTCACAGTTATACCTCTGCGGTAGGTAGGAGAGCTCTTCTGAGAGCAGGGATTCCTGTCTTTGAGCTAGCTTTTTTTTAACAACAACAACTTTTCCCATCCACATCAGCCATAGCCTCAGATAACACACACAAATGCATGGGATACACTGTGACATTTTGTTACAGGGCTTCACTTGTTCCCTCGGCTTCTGAAGTTCCTTCATGGAAATGCTTGCTACGGTATATACAATCTTCATAATATGGAATGAAGCTCTAACTACAACTGATCAGTTTTACTACTTGGGTCCATCCAATATGCATTTGTGAAGAAGCAGAAGAGAGACGTCTCTTTTAGCACTAGCGTGTGTCTTGACATTTTTAGCAAGAACAACCAGAAGACAGAGCAGCCTGGATCTCTGCCCATTTAAGTTCCCAATGTTCAGCTGGTGGCCTTTTCCTCTCCCAGGCCCCACCAGAGTGCTTCTCAGGAACCATCTTGCTATGGGGGGAGAGAATCTGGTTTTTTTCTTTACTTTCTTGTCTTTACTGCTTTATTATAGTTTTGATATTTCTATGTAAACCGCTTTGTGAGATTTGCCTGAAATAAAAAGTTCAGAACCGTTTGTTGGTCCTTATGTAGCCAAAATGATACCATCCTTGCAAAAGAGGGAAGGAATTGGCAGGCTTGGGGGAACTTTAGACAGCGGGGTGGGGGTGGGGACCCTAAAAGAGAACCTCCCTTGGAGCGTATAATGAGGGCTGAGTACAGTGGGCATGGGATGATGTTGGGGAGGGAGAATGGAAAGCTGCATTTGTGGGGGCAGGAATACAGTGGAATATTATAGAATATTCTGGCTGGAACAGTGAACAGGAACACTCCACATTCCATCCTGCCTATCATCCTTAAAGCTCATATCCCATATGCCATACAGCCACATGAATCAGGAGTCATTGCTACTCCCAATTTGTTTCAGCAGTTCATGTGCCTTCAGGTCTCTTCTGGGAACCACCTGTTTCTCTTATTTATCCCATCTTTTTAGCTTCCATCGCTGCCCCCACCTACTTCCATCTCTCCTCCAGATCTCCTTTTATTTTGTGAAATTCACTGTCTGTAATTCATATGAAAGATCATTTTACATGTAACTAGTGATTAGCCCATTAATGGCAGATGCACTTGGTACGTATTAACAAATTTGAGAGTCAGAGGTGCTTTTTAGTAGTATATATGAAGATGTCCTGACACCTACATCAGCCAGAACATGCAATTGATTTCAAAGTGGCTTGGTTCTGCTTTCTGCACCATATTCATGTTTATATGAGAGAACATCAAATGCAGTCATTCACACATGACAATATACATACATGCGTACATTCAATTTGAAATTTGGGGCCTGCGATTAAAAAATGAGTTGATTAGTTCAAATCAATGTGAAATATAGCCTCTCCATCACCACACTGCTTCTTTCGCCATGTTACTCTCTCGGGGATGCCACAGTTCTACAATGAAAGCCACAACTGGCAGAATTCCAGACTACTCTGGCAATCCTATGACCTCTCCGGCTCCCCTCTCCATCTGCTCACTTCCTCCCTGCCAGTAGTACACAGCTCCAGTCCAACTTTCCAGTTGTCTTCATCATCCCTTGTTTCCTAGGTCCCTGTTTTTCAGACTACTGCCTAATTGGTCCTGCTTCCTTTAACCACTTTGTTTCTTGACTAGCCTCCTTATCATTCTTCTCTCCCTGCCACAGCAGACAGCCCCAGTGTTATAAAATTTCTTCACTTCCCCTCTTATTAGCAGCTTCATGCCTCAGTTTCTTATCTCCTCTTTTCCTTAAACTTCATTTACTTCCTACATTTCCTTTATGTTCCTTTTATTGCTATATTTCTTAAACACCATTCCTTGAGTGTCATTGCCTCTAAGATCCCTTTTCCTTAGTCTCCCTGCCTTCTAGGGCTTCATTTCAGTCCTCAGCCATCCAGTGTGAGGTCAGGTTCCAGTCCCAGCCAAACTAACAATTTCCCCTTCCACCACAGAATCTGGACAGCAGGTTGTTCAGTTCCATCAAGAACAAAGATTCTGAGCCACCATTAGCAGTTCAGCCAATCAGCACCACAGGCTTCATTGCCACAAGCATAATGCAATATAGATGATTCTCTTCTGCTTTCTAAGCTCTGCTAACATTCATGAATTTTGCATTCCAGACTAAAAGTCATTCTTCTCTAAAGCTTTTAAGCACAGTACTTTCTCTGGCAACATCGCTGTTGCACAGTTGGATCTCATGGTAGTGTAAAACCATTTGACATTGGAGCTGGAACCCCTTTTAGGGTAACACACTAGAATAAACAGACAACTGCTTGCTCTGAACATTAATGACCACTTCTGAAATCCATTGTACCAAAGGGCACGGTGGAAAACTTTGAGATTAATGCTCATCCCTAACCCTCTTTGCCAATGTTTAAGAAGCAGAAACCCAGTGTTGCCATTGTTTGGTTAGAACAACAAGCAGAACACAGGGCTGGTTTGCAGCATGCTTCAGTGGTGAAACTAGGCTTTCTATCACCCAGGTCAAAGACTCAGTTCAGCACATACATACATACATGGGGTATGCATGTTTGTACACACATCTTTGCTCTCTTCCAATATTTGGCTTCTGAGAAGAAGAAGAAGAAGAGTTTGGATTTGATATCCCGCTTTATCACTACCCTAAGGAGTCTCAAAGCGGCTAACATTCTCCTTTCCCTTCCTTCCCCACAACAAACACTCTGTGAGGTGAGGGGCTGAGAGACTTCAAAGAAGTGTTACTGGCCCAAGGTCACCCAGCAGCTGCATGTGGAGAAGCAGGGATGCGAACCCGGTTCACCAGATTACGAGTCCATCGCTCTTAACCACTACACCACTTTGACATCGTGCCCATTATAAACAGTGGCAACTTGAACTCGCTACAGCTTATTCTTGAACTCGGCGATTCTTACTTCTGAGTAGAGCATGCATGGGCATTGCACTAGTCACCAGGGTTTACTTCTGAACTCATGAGTAAACACTGCAAATCCTTCTTATCCTACTAGGATAAGAAATTGCCTCACTCCCTTTTCCACAGCACAGGGTTCTTTGCTTCTCGGTCTGCTTTTAGTTCTTCGCGTCTAATTTCCCTCTTCTCCCCACCCCACCCCACAAGAAGTAGCAGGGGAACTAAGATCTGAATTGTGAAAAAGCAAACACACAAATTGACAACTTTAGCACAGGATTGTGCAAAAGAAGCTTCTCGTGTCTCTTTAAAGACTTACAGATCAGAGCGGCCATGTTCAGGGGGTGGGGGAACAGCTGCCCCAGCTGGGGAGTCCTGGAGGGACGAAGGGAACTGTCCACTACAAAGGAGCGCAGAGGCACATGAGGGAGGGAAGAGCAGCTCAACACAGCTGTCCTGGGCATTCCACAGGCACAGAGGGGACTCTTCCCTTATATTTTCAACTTATAGAGGCCAATGAACATACATCTTATTTTAATGAATTGACTTTTGCACAACTTTGGAAAGCTTTTACAGAGTTACGATTAAATACAATAAACTCTGCTTATAGAGATGGGAGACTCTTCCCTTTGGAATAGGCAAGGTGAGGGGAGAAAGAAGGAAGGGGCGTCTTTCTCGGGCAAAGTTGGATGAGCCAACAAAGACAAAAGCAAAACCACTTTGGAGTTATAGAGGGAGTGGCTGGGCAGTCCAGGCTTATCGTGGATTGGCTGACGGGTTGACAGAGTCAATAGCACCCTCTGGGGGCTTCATCCTGAGCACAATTCCTGGCTAAACACCCTTAGTTTCAGCACTGGGATAAAGGGTAAAGGGACCCCTGACCATTAGGTCCAGTCATGGCCGACTCTGGGGTTGCGGCGCTTATCTCGCTTTATTGGCCGAGGGAGCCACTGTACAGCTTCCGGGTCATGTGGCCAGCATGACTAAGTCGCTTCTGGCGAACCAGAGCAGCGCACAGAAACGCCATTTACCTTCCCGCCGGAGCGGTACCTATTTATCTACTTGCACTTTGATGTGCTTTCGAACTGTTAGGTCGGCAGGAGTATACTAATCCGTAAAAACACAAACATGTTTTTGTACCACATGTACTTATTCAATAGCACTTCTACGAACAGCTGTTTTTATGAACAATTAAATATGCCTGTGCAAGGAGCAAAAGATAATAATAAAAAAGGTAAAGAACCCCTGGACAGTGAAGTTCAGTCAAAGGCAACTATGGGGTTGTAGCGCTCATCTCGCTTTCAGGCCGAGGGAGCCAGCGTTTGTCTACAGACAGCTTTCTAGGTCATGAGGCCAGCACGACTAAACTGCTTCTGGCACAGCGGAACACTGTAACGGAAACCAGAGCACATGGAAATGCTGTATACCTTCCCACCACAGTGGTACCTATTCATCTACTTGCACCGGCATGCTTTCAAGCCGCATGGGGGCAGGGAATCAGGACATGCACTGTCTTGCAAGCTCATCAGAGCACCCCTAGCTGCAGTTCTAAGAGTTGGCCACCAAAGAATCAATTTGAAGCTGCAAGCTCTTCCCCTAAGCCAAGGTGGCATCCGTTGGTATATAGACACCCTCTTGATGCCCACATAGTCCTCTGTCTCCATGGAATAAGGCTTAGAAGAAGCATTCCGTTAGAGACAATAGAATGGTTGCAGTTTGTGTTTAGCTGTGGAGCCAGTGATAGCTTCTCTGGTTTTCAAATCTGCCCACAGGCACAAAAGGTTGGCCATCCTTGCCTTAAACCTTTCATGAGTAAGCCAGCCTGCAAAAGAGTATTTTAAAAAGCTGAACTCGGAGATGAAGTTTACACTATGACACAAACTATTTGTTAATAAGGGATGGTGAAATTAAAACTCACTTGAACTCCAGCTGTTCAGTATCCAAACCACTGCAGCCAAGGATACAGATGCTTTTCATCAATCCATGTTTCACTTAGGAATTATTAATATATCAGTAAGAACGGTTCACAAGTATTTTCAAAATCAGCTTGGGTTACTCTGACTTGGTTTTATGATAGATTATCCAATGAGAGTTTGCTTCACTATTGACTTTTTTTGGCTCTGGAACCTTTGCCAATATATGATAATGATGTAACCCCAAGCACATCTGGGAAGAAACAAAAGTTCCAAGCATTGCCATAAACTTGAATAAAACAAAACTACAGAAAGAAAGTTCTATTACATTTAGAGCAGAACTTAAAATTCTCTATTTCACTCGGAAGATTTGGGTTTTT